ATGTCTCCCACACTCTCTATGTTGAAAGAGCTCTAACCCAACTACTTTAATTTAGCACTTTCTGATAACTCTATTTGATATTACAAATGCTATTCTTATTGGTGATTGTGGGTTAACATTAAAGTGTTAAAATGTACAAACACTAATGAAAAATGGAAATGCAAGATTCTTCAAAATTTACTATAAATTATATTGGCTAACTTCCAAATACTATAATGGGCTTCTCCAATTTCCTGTGCTTGAACAATTTGCAAACACATCCCGGCAAGATATATGGATGATCTAGTGGCCGATAGTTATCTCCAGGATCCCAACACAAGATGAGACTAATGAAACTCTTTCCATGCATAAGTTGATTTACATTAAACACTAAGTAAATGACAACCGCTAGATTTCGCGCGAGGGTTTTGACATGGAGGTGTCGATGAATACGAAGGGCTTCCGGCGGTATGGCAAGCAGGTTCGTGAGGCAGAGCTGGCGGGGAATGTTCTGAGGCTTCCCAATGGTTTCCTGGGCAAGAAGCTGCTTCCACTGTGGCTCCATCCGAACTACATCCTTCTCGAGGATTTCCTGGTTCGGAACACCAAGGGAGATGCCATGGATGTGGATGAAGAGTTCAAAGTTCGGAAATCGCAGTTTCACTTGGTAGGAACACCCGGGATTGGGAAGAGCTACTTTGGGCACTATTGGTTCTTCAAGCAAGCCAAGGATGGCAAGCGGGTGATCTGGAGGAGCCAGGGCGGTGTTTTCGTCTACTTTGACTTCTCGCTCGAGGATCCCTTTGTGCACGCTTCCAGCGACTACGTTGTCCCCAGCCCTTGGTTGGAGGATATCGAAACAATCTGGCTGGTGGTGGATGGCGGCTGCGAGGGCCTCGACCACGATGGTTTTGTGCTCCAGTGCGTCTCTCCAGGTCGCAGTGGCTACCACGAGTTTGCAAAGGATGTGGGCGTGCCTTTTCACCTGGAAGCATGGACGCTCGAAGAGTTGATGCAGTGCAGGGATGCTCTGAACCTGGGATTCACGGATGAAGAGCTTGCAGAGCGTTTCTACTACTGCGGGGGCCTGCCTAGAGAAGTGTTGGATAAAAGGAAGACTAGCCAGAGCCTGAAAGACACCATGACAACAGCGGTGTCTTGGGCCCCAAGCTGGGAGGCAGTGATAAGGGATGTAGCATCTGGTGCAGATGCCATATCCAATTACCTTCTCCATTATCGGCTGCAAAGGGAGCTCGACGTGAATGCAGTTGCTTCGGACTGTGTGCTGCGGTTTACGTTGAAGTTCGCTTCCTTCTTTGTGGAGGATTTGGTAGTTGATAAGTTCCAGAGGCAGGGACATGGGAAAGTCAGGGAGTTTTTCGACTTCTGCCAGAGAGTTCCTGAGGCCCGCGCATTGTCCGGGAAGTTTTTCGAGAAAAACGTCCACAGGAAGCTGCAGGATGGCGGGGGTGATTACACAATCAAGGATTTGGCAACACCGGACAAGCCTCTCCCCGTTTTTGAGTTAAAGCCATCGAGCACCAAAAGGCTTCGTTGCTGGGAAGTCACTAAAGTGGCTGAGGGAAAACCATCGAAGGACGAGAAAATGCGTGGCTCTGCTGTAATCGGCAAGGAGGAATCCGTAGGATTGGCAAGCCTTGACAGAGGCTGTTTCGTCAACTCGTATGCAGCCATTTTCAAGTCGCTGGATTCGTTCGTCGTCCCAGATATCATGATCCAGTGTACATGCTCTTTGGATCACAAGATTTTCTGGGCTCCGGTCCTGGAGGTGGTGCAGGAATACGATCGTTGGTATTCACTCCAAGGTAGTACGCCGCCACCTTACTACCGTCTTATCTTCATCGTCCCAGAGTGTCAGTTTCGAAACTTCAAGTTTCAAGGGTATAAGAAGGAAGATGGCACTGACTATTTGGAGCTGCAGCCTGAAATGTCCAGAGTGAGGCAGTTGGCTTTATCTTTTCCATGGTAAGAGCTACTTCATGTTTTAAGTACTTCGGACAATCCTTGGGATAATTCATAGGTTTAGTCTTCGCACTCTAAAGTGTGTTGTGTTTCATTCTTCTTTGCACTGAGTAGTCTCTTTTAGTTGAGCCATGTTTGTTGGAGTGGAGCAATGCTCAGGCTCAAGGCATAAGCTCTCTGCCTATCAGTCTTGACATTATATGCTCATAAATTAGTGTTCTTAACTCTACTATCCCCACATTTATGCTATTTTCTTGAAAATTGTATTCCTGTTAAATACTGAATTTCTCCAGGGTTCAAGCGCAACCTTCAACCCTAGTGATTAGCAAAGATAGTATATATTTAAGTCTTCAATTCTACTTTTCAAAAGGCACCTCCATTTTCAAAGTTTTCATATGCAAAAGTGCTCCTTATTCTTGATTTCGTATGAGATATTCAAATGATCCAATTAGCTCTTCCTTATGCTCTCAACCATCTCCAACACAGAAATTCTTCATAACTTTCAAATGGCACATCTTATAGTGCAAAATTGAGTGCCCAGATCACAAAATCGCTCTCACAGACTATAAAGATGAATAGTTAAAGTTTTATCAGCTTGTGAAGTTGTAATTGGGATTTTGTAGTGCTTTGCCCAAATATCTTGAAGAAACATAAACTATCACTTCCTCTAAGCTACAAGTCTCTTTGCATTGCACAGACTTACTATAGCTTAATTTATTAAAGTATAGATATATTGAGTTATTAGTTATAAATTTTGTTACGCAAGAAATTAAAATTTTAGTTCCTGTACTACCATGTCTTCTTTATCAATCAAACCCTTTACATTGAACTCATGATCTTTCACTCATATAATTTTATCCCCACTTAAAGTTCATGTTAAGCATGATAGATTTATTATAAACATAATTTTGTGTTTGTTTATGTTCAATAATATCTTTTGTAGAGGTGTAAATGTTAAATACACTATGTTGCTAAGTATAGACCAAGTTGTTTCTCTGGAGAAAGCCTCTTGAAGTGAAAATATCATAGTCCCGTTTGTGGAGGAGCTCTCTATATTGGGGAAGTGATTGAAGTTATCTTGTAGTTCTCTTGTTGAATTATTATATGGAATGCTATAAGAAAATCTTAAATTTTTATTTCTTTTTTCAATTTTAAAGTGTTTTTAATACTCCATGTTCTCAGTGCACTACTCTAGTTGTTTTTTTTCTTTAAATGTTTTTATATTTCTTAGAGCCAAATTTGTTTCGTCCACTTTGGTTTGTTTAACCAAGGTGGTAGTGGATATACCTAAATATGCTTGGATATTCTATGATATTCTACAATTTAACTGTTGTTATTCATTTAGATTAAATTTATATTTACAATTTATAAACATTATTATAATTTATAAGCTTTCCTAAACAAATAAAATTAATCTTGTGTTTATAAATTATAAACATGTTTATAATTATAAACTTTCATTTGAACAATTAGATTAATAAATAGGAATAACACTACTATTAATCAAACCAAACATTGCTGCACAACAATTTTTTTTTTGTTCTTGTAGAATATGGTTGGATATTTTGGTTTATTCTACCATCTAACAGTTGATATTTATTTGGATTAATTTTGTTTTTATAAATTATAAACATGTTTATAGTTTATGAAATTATCTAATCTTAATTCAATTCTACTCTTTTAACTGTAAATAAGTTTAACTGAGTATTCAATTTATGTCTTGGTTTTGATATTGCATGCTAAAGTTGTCACTTTAAATTTTGCAAGATTGGATATAAAACTTTATAGATCCAAGATTGATTTTGAGATGATGAGGTAAAGGTTTAATTTAGCAAAAGGGGTTGAGAAGCAATTTCACCTGAATTTCCAATTTTGTAAGTTTTGAAGCTTGATTGTTGTTGAATGGTTTGTGGATAGATACCAATTATTCTTTCAACCATTGTTTTGATTAACTATTTTTTTTAAAAAAAATATTTAGTATTGTTTACAATTGCTACTGGAATCTTTTGAATTACAAATCTCCAGACTCGTGATAACGGCCCCGCGCCTCGGACGCAACAGATGAAGGATATAAGCTTCGGCAATGCTTTCGCTCCTGTAGCTTGACGGATGGAGAGCTTCTCGTCGCAAATCCTTGCACAAGCCGCGATCTCTTCTAGGCTCTCGGAGGAACTTACCGAGTTGTTGTCTAGGCAACGCATCGGCTCTTCCCAGCTGTCTTGAATTCGATCTTCGAACAGTACAGCTTCAGTGCCCAAGCTATCGAGAATTACTCCTGAAGTACTCGCGGCTCAGTTCCAGTCATCTCGACGCTGACTGGGGACACCTTCTCTCTAGAACACTGCCGGTCTTCTATCTTGTTCCAAACAAATCGGTCGTGTTTGCCAACCATAGCTTGTCCCCGCTTGTGACTTACGCCCAGTAGCAGCCGGGCTCAAGATCACTGCAAGCTTCCTTCGTACCATCTCCAGTTCCAGTGCCAAGGCCGGCCGAATTGCTACAGCCTCAGCACTGCCAACACCTCCATCGGCACCCTCTCGTCGCAGCCTCGCGCCTCATCCCCAGGAGCGTCGTTTAGGCCCTCCAGAAAAAGCCGCCTCTACACTCATGGATATCCCCGAGTCGTGATCACCGAGCCTCGAATTCCTTGCCGACGTTCTCCAGCCGATTTCGACGAGCTCGCCGAGGCACTGTGGCACGTAGTCCAGGTGGTGATCGGGAGCGACGGTTCCAGCCAACCCGTAAAGAGTGCTGCTGCTCAGAGCCTGACCAACGCGGCTAAGTTGCTCATCAATTTGGCACCATCGTCGGGAGGTTACATCACCGAGGCGGACCCAAACTGGCAGCAGTCGCTGTGTGGAGTGAACTATCAGCGGTTGCTGGGGATCAAGAGCATGGTCGATCCGGCAGGATTGTTTCGCTGCCACCATTGCGTGGGTAGTGAGTTCTTCACTCCATGCAAAGCATATTAATGGTGATAGTAGTGGATCTTGGATCTTGTTCTACACCGCCATCTTGGATCTTGGCACTCGCTCCTATCAAGTGTAAACATTTGACAATAGCACATAAGGTCCGGCATTGTCTGGATCACGATCAAGGATTGCTTGCCCGACTCTAGTTCCCAGATCCACATCCCTCTGCGTCTTGCAAGCGCTGAGCAGCGTCATCCAGGTCGCCTCTCGCGGCTCAAACGGCATGGTGCGTATGAGCTCCTCGGCATCCGCCAACCTCCCAGCCTTCCCGAGGAGAAAGATGACACAAGCGTAGTTCTCCAGCGTGAGATGCAAGCCATACTCGTGGCTCAAGTGGAAGAAGCACCGCGCGTCCTCGAGCAACCCCGAGTGGCAGCACGCCGCCAGAGCGCTCGAGATGGTGGCGTCGTCGGGCACCATTCCATCGAGATGCAAGCGCGAGAAGATGTAGAGCGCCTCGTCGCCATGCCCGCTCTCGGCGTAGACCGCCACCATCGTGTTCCAGGAGATGATGTTCCGCTGCTCCATCGTCTCAAACACCTCCCGCGCGAGATCCAGGCTCCCGTACTTCCCATACATGTTGATGAGCGCGCTGGACAGGATCACGTCGAGCTTGAATCCATTGTCGTGGATCACCGAGTGGATGATCCTGGCCTCGGCCATGGACGGATCCGCGGAGCAAGCATCGATGAGGCTGCCGATCGTCTGCTGGTGTGGAAACTCCCCCTCGAGATCCATGAGCTTGAACAGCCGCATCGCCTCCCTGCCATACCCGTGCTGGGCATTTGCTGCGATCATCGCGGACCAGCTCACAGCGTTCCGGATCGGCATCTCAGAGAAGAGCCGCCGCGCCTCCTCAAGATCACCACTCTGCGCGAGCGCAGTGACCATCCCAGTCCAGACCACAACGTCGCGGCTGGCGGATCGATCAAACACTCTCCTCGCGCTGGTGATATCCCCGCTCTGGGTATAAGCTCCGATCATAGCGCTCAGCGCCACTACGTCACCCGGCGGCGCCGCGCGGTACACCGCCTCCGCGTCACTCGCCCTCCCGAGCTTGCCATACATGATGATCAGCGCGGTCTGGACGATCACGTCGCCATCGTCGCCGCGAGCGACAGCCCTGCTGTGCGTGAGCTCCCCTCTCGCGAGATCGCCCAAGTTTCCATAGGCATCGAGGATGCTCGCGATGGTGTAGTGATTGATCGCGACGCCCTCTTGATCCATGCGGTGGAAGAGCTCCGCGGCCTCGCGGTCGCGGGCGTTTAGGACGTAGGCGGCGATCATCGCGTTCCAGGAGACGAGGTTGCGGCCTGGCATCTTGGAGAAGAGCTCCAGCGCAAGTTCTAGATGCCCGTTCTGGGCAAATGCTGCGATCATCGTTGTCCAAGAGACCACATCTCTTTGCGGGGCGAGCATGAAGAGATTGCCCGCGTCGCGGACGCGATCGTTGTGGATGTAGGCGGCCATCATGATGTTCCAGGAGAAAACGTTCGGATAGGCAATGCCATCGAAGATCTTGCGAGCGTCGACGATGGCGCCGCAGTGGCCATACATCTCGATGAGGAGATTGCGGAGGTATCGGCTGTGGCGCTGGGAGCTGGCGAGGATCTGCGAGTGCGTTTCCCTGCCACGGACCAAATCCCGGGTTTTCGAGCAAGAACGTAGCACCCTCGCGAATTCGTCTTGCTGGCGGAGATCGTCGTCGATGGGCGATGGCGGTGATCGTGGCGCTGCTGCTGCCACTGCTGGATTGAGAGAAAACTTCTCGAGCATCGCCGTCGCCATCCTCGAGGAACTTCTCATCCAGATTCATAGCAACACTTCCACTTCCTTGACGCTTGGAGTAGAAGAGTGATCATCCCCGTTAGAAGTTCTTCCAAGCTTCTTGGAAGAACAAATGCTAGAGAGGAGCACGTAAGGCGCTGGATTCCCTGGATCGAGCCTAAACACATTGTCCGCGGCAACCGTGCCCCTCTCTCGATCGCCATGGAGCTTGCAAGCTCCCAGCAGCGTCATCCAGCACAGAGAATCCGGCTCAAACGGCATGAGCCCGATCAGATCCTCCGCCTCTTGCAGCCACCCGGCCCGGCCGAGGATATCGATGACGCAAACGAAGTGATCCAGCTCCAGCAACCCGCGGTAGTCGATCAAGATCGAGACCAAGTACCCGGCAGCTCCTCCTCGCGCCAGCCCCGTGTGGCTAAACGCCGTGAGCGTGTTGATGAGCGTCACCCCGCTCGGCTCCTCGCCCTGGAGATGCATCATCTGGAAGAACCGCAGCGCCGCGGAGCCGAGGCCGAAGCTCGCGTGGATCGCGATGATCGAGTTCCAGGTGACTTCGCTCTTCACCGGCATGGCGTGGAAGATCTCGGCTGCTCGTCCCAGGCAGCCACACTTTGCGTACAAGTTGACGAGCGCGGTGGCGAGCACGACGTCGTCCGCGTAGCCAGCGGCGGCGGCGAGGCCGTGGATGATCTTGCCCTGGGCGAGCGCCAGATTCCCAGCGCATGCATCCAGCGCGGCCACGAAGGTGATCAGGTTTGGAGCCGCGCCTTCCAAGTTCATGATCGCGTAGAGCATGAACGCCTCTCGAGTGTTGGAGTTGTGGACGTAGCCGGAGATGAGCGCGTTCCAAGTCACGGTGTTCCTCTCATCCATCCCTGCGAAGACGATCCAAGCCTCCTCCATGCTGCTGCAGTTGCCATACATGTTGATCAAAGCGGTCGCCACAACGACGTGAGAGACGAGTCTGTTCTTGCTCGAGATGCTCGAGTGGACGATTCTGCCTTGAGTGACCTTGGCTGTGCTGCCGCAGACGGTGAGCAGCGCGATGATCGTCACGTCGTTCGGCTCCATCCCTTCCAGATCCATCAGCCCCAGCATCGCCACTGCTCGATCGCACTCCCCCGCTTCGGAGTAGGCCGTGATCATTGCGTTCCAGGACACCAAGTTCCGCTTTGGCATCGTGTCAAACGCCACCTTTGCCTCCTGCAAATGCCCAGTCCTAGAAAACGCAGTGATCATCGCGTTCCAAGACACCACATCGCGCACCGGCATTGTCTGGAAGATCTTTCTCGCCTTTTCGATGTTTCCAGCATCGGCGTACGATGCGATCATTGTGTTCCACGACGCCACATCCTTGTCTGGGATCTTGGCAAAGATCTCTTCCGCGCGATCAAAATCCCCAGACTGGGCATATGCCACGAGCATGATGTTCCAGGAAACTGCGTTTGGATCGACGATCTTATCAAACATCTCGCGCGCTTCGATCAAACGCCCGTAGTGAACAAGCGCCGCCGTGATCGTGTTCCAGCTCACCACTGTTCTCTGCGGCATCTTGTCGAACAAAACCTTCGCTTCGTCAAGCTGCCCATACGCGGCATATGCTGCGAGGATGGTGTTCCACGACACCACGTCTTTCAACGGCATCCGGTCGAACACGTCGCGGGCGTCCTCGATCCGACGGCTGTGTGCGTACGCGGCCATCATGATGTTCCACGAGAAGACGTTCTTGGAGGGGATCGAATCGAAGACGCGACGCGCCTCGTCCGGGCTGCCGCATTTGCCATACATCTCCATGGCGAGATTCTGGAGAAATTTGTTCTGGCGATGCTCGGTGGCGATTATCCTTCGATGGATCCGGCGTCCTGTCGAGAGATCCTGGGAGCGCGCGCACGATCGCAGGAGCGCTGCATAGAACGCCGGTGAATTCTTCTCGTCGGCGGTGGAAGTTCTCAACTCCATTCGAGAAATCCCTTCCCTCCATGCGAGAAATTTCAAGATGCCCCAAATCCATGCAAAGAAAAGACCTAATCCCCTGTTTTTGTGAATTAGGGTTCTAGGGAAGGGGGCGAGAGAATGACCGCGTCAGGGCCGAAGAACGAGGAAGGCGGCGAGCAGCGCCATCTGCAAGGAGGCACGCAGCTGGGAGTTCCAGCTTACTATGGCACATTTCAGGGAAATCCCAGCTTCCCGCAGCCAGTACACCCTAGTCAGTACGAGCAGCAGCAGCAGCAGCAGCAGCAGCAACAGCATCAGCAGCAATATCACCCGGGCTACGTTTCTTCTCAAGGTACCTCTTGATCGATTCAATCGCGCTCTAGATCTAGATATTTCGTCCTGGAGGAAGGATCTCTAAAGAAATCTCTCTTTTTTTTTCGGTTCTTTGCTTGTGTAACAGGATACGAGAGAATCGATCACTATCAGCATCACGATAGGCTTCCGTGTTGCGGGCTTGGAATTGGATGGTGTCTGTAAGTCTTCGGCTCGCTCCCCTTTTTTTTTTCTCTTTCCTTGCTTGAAACTTCTTTCGATATGATGTTTGAATCGCTCACACTGTTTTGGCTTGTAGTTTCATCCTTGGCTTTTTGACGCTTTCGCTTCCCTGGTTCGTGGGGGCTTTCATTTTCTTTTGCATCAAGACGGACGCGAGAGAACACGTCGGGCTTGCAGCGTGTGCCATTGCAGTAAGTCTTTCTGGTGTTCACGCATTCACTGATTTACTCCTCCGCAAAACAGGCACTCATGGCTCTCCTCGTCGGTGGCAGCAAAGGGATCCATATGTGGTAGACGTAAGAGGCACGCACGCACGCTACGCATGTAAATAAGCTAAGTCATTTGCGAATCTAAACATACTTTTCTTCGGAAACTCGAGCTCGTCGAGATTTTCAAACGTTAACAGTGGCGCGGAAAGTCCCCCAACGATAGACATGATCTACAGTGTGAGAAGAAGCGACTGACGGGAAAACCAGACTTTATTCCAGATGAGATATGCTACAAGAGAAAACTCTACGGTGGTGACCATCTCAGGCAGGAGCCACAAGTCTGTCCAGACCCCCGGCTTCGATCTTTGGAACCGTGACAAGGAGAACTTCGTCCGAGTACTCCACCCGGGTCGCCTCTGGCGAGGTCGTGGGTGGGAGCCGAAACCTCCAGCAGTCGACCTGATTCTCGTCGGAAGAAGAAGATAGCAGCCCGACCACCACTTTGACAGCTCCAGGGACGATCTCGAGAACTTGGACCCGGACATCCTCCGCCGCCAGGCCCGAGTGCTGGATCGCAAACATGTAACACTCTGGAGTCTCGTGGACCTCGACGTCCTTGTCAGATCGAAAGGGGAGCTGGAGAACTTTGGCAAACAGGTGTGGCATCCGCTTGAGTGGCTTGCTGCTCGTCACGGTGGATGGAACGGCGCTAGCGGCGGCCTCGATATCATAGACGACGACCATCGTTTGCCTCCTGTTTAGCGGATGTACCTTAGCTACTGTCATAGCTCCGGAGAATTTTTTTTTCCTTTCCTTGCTATCGCTGTGATCCTTTCTTCCTTTCTTTTGGTATGAGAATCGAGAGAGGGAGAAGCCTTTTTCTTCTAGGTACCTTTTAACGCTGGAAAGCTTTCTCTTGGCTTCCTCTGTCTTTCAAAGAGCCTGCTTATAAACATAACCAAGGAAGGAATGAAAGCTTGGAGGAATGGAGGAGAGGAATGGCGATGTGGGCGATTGCGAGGGGCGCGACCCACGTCTCCAAATGCCCGTGACTGAGGACCCAAGAAAGCGCAGACTCGATCGGGCCCCCAAAGTAGCCCTAGTTGGCTGAGAATCTTTTTTAGGGAAGAATGAGAGGAGGGAATTCTCTACGGTGGTTGCAAGCGGTTAGGCTATGGCCGCCAGAATGGACATATAAATCTTGTAACTAGCAGTAGATTTTAGCGGATGAAATGGATAGATGATAGAATCTCCAGAGATAAGAGTGGGCTATAAACAGCGATGGGATCGGCGGCTTTATATACAAACGGGATCATCAAATCAAACGGCTAATCATCTGAAAGTTGGAAGAAAATTTCATTCCTTGCGGGCTGCTCCACCACCCTCCTGGAAAAAACCACCGGATCAAACAATCCCCACATGAAAGAATTCGCACTGTATTTAGCTACGCATCGCATCGATCAAAAGAAAAACGAGGAAGGAGCTAGAAAACCTGTGAGATTGGCCTCTTCCCCAAGCGCTTGATCTCCTTGTCCATGTTTCCAGTGAGCATCAATCCAAACATCTTGCAATCGCACATAAACGACCAGAGCGGGTGCCCAAATGTGGCCGGCGTGTTGCCCTCCACGAAGAAATGGCTGTACCACGCCATTCCATAGCCCACCACTGGCACCAGGAAGAAGAGCCACCACTTAATCAGCAGCGCGCCCACCAGCAGGATCGTCGCGCAGCTCGTGCCCAAGAAATGCAATCGCCGCGTCGTCGGCTTGGAGTGCTGATTCATGTAAAAGGGCCAGAACTCTTCGAAGCTCCGGAAGTGCATCATCGATTTCGCCAATCTTCGACGCAAATTCTCCACCTGGGCAGCTGATCCCCACCGATTCCCGACTTGGGCTGCGATCAATTCCTCGCCAGGAGCCCTACTTCGACCGCGAGGACGCGCGCCACCACCATCGCCATAGCTTCCCCATGAAACCAAAGGAGAGCCGTTGATTGCCTGCCACGTATGCGACAGCTCTGAGCCGTTGGATGGCATGGCGGGAAGTGTCTCAGGTTCGATTCCGGCCGCGGGCATTCCATTTTGCGGGGCTGCCATGGCGGCTGCGTTGTCGGCGTGAGAGACCAGGTATTGTTCTAGGCGAGAATTTCTCGAAATCTCGCTCACGATTCCTCTCCAGATCGCGCGCGTTGCATTTTCGCATGGCGATCGGTGGTGGAAAGATCCGGCATTAGGGTTTATCAAGCGCGACGCTGTTCTTGCTGGATGGCGAGTAGATTCCAGGCGCTGGCGATGCTGTCCAGGGTGTGCTGCCTGCCGCGGGCTCGAATCGGTCGCAGGTTTACTCACAGCAGCGCAGCTGGGGCGTTCCAGATTATCAGCAGGAGGGGCAATCACTTTTGGTCAAGTTCTTCCGAGGATAGTGGGATAGACGTGGAGGCGGAGGCTAGCAGCACCAGCAGCGCTAGCACTAGCAGTCGCAAGTTGCCGCTGGTGGACGAGAAGAAGATCACACAGGCGGCCCCCGACTGGCTTCCACTTGTTCCTGGGAGTTCTTACTGGGTACCATCGGAGGAGGAGAAGGTGAAGCCCGTCACTGTGAAGCTGCTCAACTTGAGCGACGGGAAGATCACGGCGTGCATCTCGCCTTGCGGCTGGCCAGCCTTGTCGGAGGACGAAGATTGTAAGTTCTTCTTTCTATTTGCTTTGTTCTTCCTTTGTTCTTGATGTGTTCGCGGTTTTCTATGGTTTCTATGCCTTGTTCTCGTGGTTTTCATGTTTTTGCGTTACTCTACATTGTTTTCTCTTGCTAGTTTTTCTTCAAGTTTTGATCGTTTTCTTCGGTTCTAGTCTTTGGTTCTTGGTTTTTTTGCCGTGTTCTTGGTGGTGTTTGGTTTTTTATGGTTTCCATGCGTAGTTTTCGTGGTGTCTTATGCGTAGTTCTACATCTTTCTTTGAATTGTTTTTCTTTTCTTTTTTTTCAGTTCTTCAAGTGTTGATCGTTATTTTTGGTTTGATACTTGGTTTGGTTCTGTGTTCTTTTGTGTGGCTCTCGTGGTTGTTCTTTTGAGAATATCAGCAATGGTTTTCTCTTGCGAGTGTATTGCTTGTATGAAACCATTGCCTCGTACTTCTTTTGTGTGACTCCGGGAGGGAATATTTGTCGTGTCGATTTTGTGTAAGATTGCTGCGAAGATTTTCTTCCTGTGACACGTCCGGTGTTTTTGTGGTGTCGATTTTTTGTACGATATCTGCGAAGATTTTCTTCCTGTACTGACACGGCCGATGTTTCTTTTTCTTCCTGCAGTCACGGATGTGTCTGAGGACGAAGACGACGATGATTAAGTCATACGAGCTGCTTAGCTTGCTCAAGAGCTTGCGAGCTTGCGAGAAACAAAGCAAAGGGAAAAAGAACCACTGACTGGGGCCAAACGAGCTGGAAATGCTCACTCTGTGCGTAAACGCTGGGAATGTAAAATTTATTCTAGCAAAACAATAGAATAAGCCTTCGATCAACGGTTGGGATTTTCGATCCGTATCAACGGTTGCGATCCACGGGGAAGGGAATATTCGCATAGCGCCCAACATTTTCCCTCTCTTTTCTTTTGTTTGAACCACCACTCATCAGCGAGGGCTTTTGCAGAGCTAGGGTTTTGCGGGAAGGAGGCGCTGCTCGATCGATCGAATGGACGAGGTAAGCGCCGCACGGCGATCTAGAGTTGCGCACTCACGATGCTTTGATTCTAGAATGTGGCGCCTCTCGCAGTGAATCCTAGAGCTGCGCACCCTGGTATGCGTATTATTTGAACGGGTTTCTGATGATCACTTGTGTTTCATGGTAGTGCCAAAGAATGTGTTTAAGCGTCTATACAGTGGATTCAAGGGAGGGGATCCGAAGATCCGCAAGCATGGGAGGTAAAAATACCATTTTTCTTCTTTTAGCTGATGACTAAGTTGTCATGCAGTGCGAAAGAGGAGGAGACTGATAAAACCCCGTTGAAAGCCACCAGAGGACGCCAAGTTTCATCCAAGTTCTCTGGGGTTTTGTTGTCCAGATCCACCAAGAAGTACGACAGCCAGAAACAATGCTTGGCGAAGAAGTTCTCATTTAAGACGCCGTCTACGAACCAGCAGTTTGTGACGTCCGAGAGAGGGGCTGAGAGCAAACCGTCGGTGAAAACTCCCGCTTCCGTTAGACTTGCGAGATCCAAGCTCGAGTCCGCAAAGTACTGGCTGTCGCTGGTGAGTGTTGCGGAGAAAGCAGGAAAGCACGCCGTCTCGGTGGGGCTTTTCCGCCTTGCTACCGACTGTGGAGCAAAGGTATTTATTAATTTGTGTCAGATTTCTTTTCTCCCGGCATGATCCCTTTCTCTCATGTGTGTGCAGCCGATAGCTGACATCCAAAAAGGCCTTGCGTCCTATACTGCTCGATACAATCTCAACTCGACTCCCGCAGACAGCCACCTGGAAGTTTCACCTTCTCTTAAAGTCGAGGAACATGTCCCGGACGTGCTGTCGGATAGTCAGCATCCTGCAATCAATACTGAAGCTGACGAAGGCAAAGCTGTTAAAGAAGTCAAGGCTATGGAGAATCTCGGTGACGAGGAGTGCTCACGGGTTTCTGTCATTGACAAGCTTAATCCAGAAGACGATGCTACCTCTGAGGTCATCAACGGCGTCATTCACACTACTGATGCCCATGAAACTGGTGCCACCAGTAAGTTGGACGCGCAGAAATCGCCACCAAAGCCTTCGGCTGAAGTTATTGCTCCTCGACGTACTCCTCGCCGCGCATGCGCTATACGCGCGATTCAGAGGATTGAAGAAAGCAACAAGAAGCAACCTCGACGAAAGCAGCCAGGTACCTGGATCTGGAAAGTTCTACCATAGTTCTTTCTAATTCTATGTGTGTTCCGTCCAGAGTCGAAGGCCGGCGAAACCTCGAACGAAGCTCCTGAGCAACGTGATTTGGATGTCGAGAAAATGGACGTGGATGCCCTGATGGAGGAGGTAGTCTCGTGCATGATGACAGGATCGGGCAACCAGGAAGTGCTGAGTACTTCCAAGCCCCGTCTGCGTTCGAGCTGTAAGAAGCAAGCGAAAGTACCTGCTCGATGCGCAATCTCGCCAAATCAAGCACAGGATAAGAAGGCTGGCAACGGGAACCAGGAGTTCCAGGTTGTGAGCGAGAGCTCCAAAACCAGCGATCACAACGAAGTTGGAAAAGAAAATGCTCCAAAGGCGACAACGAGTCGAACACTTTTCGAGGTAATGACCTGTGGCATTCCAGTACCAAGACTTTTGAATTGATCTTATGATTTCCTTGTTTACAGACACCGACAAAGAAAAGCATAGCTGTTGAACCAGGTAAGTTTTTTCTTCTTGTTAGCTTCCTCTTCTCACCATTTTGCAACGTGCCAGTGCCAGGAAGTACCGAAACAAGGAAGTCGGCAAGAATCCGGTCAATCGGCAAGTCCGCCGGCAAGTGTGCTTGACAATGTGAGTTTTTCCTTAGACTTTACAGTTTCAGCTTGCTATGATCTCTCAACTTTCGAAAGCAAGCTAGCACCAGTTGAAAGATTTGACAGAAAAAAGCATATAGTAAATATTTCGTCTACTTGATCGATTTCAAGAGCTGAGAAAAAAGGTGCTTTTGGCGACACTGGAACTTCTTTAAAGGTAAATATCAAGTTTCCTTGTCCCTTTCATTATCTGTAGAAGATAACAGCCTGAGATATTCATACTTTCTGTGTTACAGGCATTTGGGGCGAGAAGCGTAGCTAGTACACAGGTAAGATGGCAAGATCTGTACTATATTCTTTTTCCTTTCGTCTGATAATTATCTGCGAGACTCCGACTGACTGTACCCAGATGCGCCACGGAGCTTTTACTTACTCGAAGAAAAGTAAGTGCTCGCTATCTCATCGATAAGCCAGGCTTGTGTGACTGACTAAATGGGACGTGTGTAGCTCGTCTGCTGGGGTCCCAGTTTTGAGGGGCATCGGACGCTTCCATTCCGATATGGATGCTATCTTCGAATCCAGGCTCGCTTTCCTTCTGGAGTCCATTTCGAGAGCCTTGTTTTTTAAGTGTTTTCAAGGCTAAAGCTGGTGCTTTGCTTGGTGTAGCTGTTTAAGTGGGGACGCTTGGAGCCTCCTTTTCTTTTATCAAGTGTTCTTTCTAGTGGTAAATGTGAGAATGAAAGATCTTTGTCACCAGTCTTTGTTTTGCAGCTCTGTTCTTCCTGACAACAACGAAACAACGACACACGCCTTGAATTCGATTCCCAAGACCGGACTCGTTGCGATATCATCCATCCATGCCAGTTTATTTGTAAGAAAATTGCTAACGAGAGAGAGAGAGCGAGAGAGAGAGAGAATTATGGCTCGAATAGAAAAAACCATTAGCAAAAGCCAGCTGGCAGGGGCCCTCCACGTGGCCCGCCGAGTGAATCCACTACGGCCACGTCTCGAGATTATACAATAGCCTTGATCAAGCAAATCACCTGTACGACATCCCGTCAATCCAGCGGTGACGTGTACGGCGGAACCAAGAGAGAGATTAACTTGCGTTCGTCTTTCTCTCTTTTCTTTCTTTTTTACTAGTTGGTGTTTGGCGAATGGCCCACTCTCGATCCTTTTGAGCGTAGATCTTTTATCACCCCCCTTCCTCTGCGCTTATACACAATCTTCTCCCCTTGGCAACACTCCTAGACGCGCTTCTTCTTTTTCTTCTTCTTCCCAAGGTCGGTATCCTCATCTCAATTCCTCGAGAATTCCATCGCAAAAGCCCCCATTTTTCTTGGCTGCTTCTTTGTCTCTATCTGTGTCGTCGAGGAATTAAGCTGTGGCTGTTCTTGGCTGTAGAGAGAGCGAGCGAGCCAGCTCCATCGCAGAAGAGAATGACGGAACAAGCGCCAGCGGCTCCAGTCACTCACGCTCCAGCGGCTCCAGTCACTCACGCTCCAGTGGCTCCAGTCACTCACGCTCCAGTCGACAAGAATGTCACTGCCGAGACGGCCAGTCCCACGTCGGTGATTGGAACAAATGTGAAGAGCCCTCCTTCTCCAGGACGCGCTCCTGCCGACGCCAACCACGCTCATGCTGCTACCACCCATCCTGGTGACGAGAATTCTCGCTGTGTCCCCTGTTTCTCTTCCTGACCCTGTGAGTGCCCCAATTCCTTCTTTGCAGAGGCTGCTCATGTGAAGGCTGCTCCAGGAAGTCCCCCTTCCAGCAAGAATTCCCTCTCGTCTTCGTTGAGGACTGATGGAGGCGGATCAATGGATCGAGGTACGAAGTTTTGGTTCCCGGGTTCACGTGTCTCCAGCGGACCGTTTACTCTCTCGCTGTAGATTCCGCTCTTGCCAAGGTCCAACACGAGAGGACAATGTCGAACATCAAGGCCTGGGAAGAGAGTCGCAAAGCGAAAGCCACCAACAGGTAAGCAACGTTTTGAGAGGTTCTTGCTGGTTCTTACCTTTGTTCTTTGTTGGCAAACAGGTGCGCCGCGGTGATTGCAAAGATCGGTGCCTGGGAGGCCTCGCAGAAGGCTGGAGCTGAAGCCAAGTTGAAGCAGGCTGAGGTGAGCAGAAAACAATTTTAATTAGTAAACTTTTAGCTTGAAAAATTAGATATTGACATGTCTCAAACCTGTGCAGGAGAAACTCGAGAAGAAGAGAGCCGCACTCGTCGAAAAGATGCGTAATCAGATTGCAGCCGCTCACAAGATGGCCGAAGAGAGACGAGCTCTCGCGCACGCGCAGGAAGGCGAGGAGATGTTCAAAATCGAAGAAACTTCAGCAAAGTACAGAGCTCAAAACAAAAAGCCTGGAGGATTCCTGTGCTTCAAGGCCTGAAAGTATATGTGATCCCATACATATGCTACGACGATCGACAGATGGTTTGCTGTGATCCTGTTTGGCTTGAGTTTGGTTGCTGTAAATTATTCGATTAATATGAAAACCAAAACAATTGTACCTGGGTGGAGAATCATTTTACAATAACTGTTACAAAGCTTTGTCTCTCGCAAGCAAAAGACACAGACTTTACTGTGTTCACAGACCCCGCAAGTGCATTGAAAGTAAAACACTGCACAAAGACGATAAGCGGTTCAACGATAAATCCCACAGTTTTCTCACCAGCAGGAAATGCGGAAAAAGTTCCGCTTGAACTGTCTGTCTCGCATTACGTTTTTGATGCACACATGTACAAACTGCCCCACACCTGTCACTTCCGTTTTGCTGATATGCCACTTAACTGAACCACCTGCAACACACACGCAAACTCTTTCAAGGCTCGTAGATCAAAACAAGATTTGAGTTTTTTACCTCCTTCGGGGTCTTTGACTGCGATACCGAGACGATATCAGATTTCCCGTTGAGTGCCGCGACTTCCCTCTCTTAGCAAGCCACTTCTCTTCTCTCTCGAGGCTGGCTTGACAACGAGTTCTTTGGTACCGCCGCTCTTCAATGGTTTCCACTGTCCGGATCACCTGAGACTGCTGGTAGTCATACGGGAGCTTCGTCGAGTTCCATTGCACTAGCTTTTCATGGATCTGTGTATCGGTTTGTCTTGCTTCTGCGTCGGCTGGAAGAAGCACGCCGTTGCCGCTGGCTGAAAACTTGCCAGCATAGAAAGGATCGAAGGCACCAGTCCTCCCATTTTTCTCGTTGAGCCTCCCAGTAATGTCAGAAACTGTCACGGACGATCTGTAAGTCGGCCGATCCATCATAAAGCTACTCCTCATGTTACGTTTACGCTCCAAAGGATCCGCTTCGTCATCCTCATCGTTTATGTGACAGCTTGACATAGCCGAAACAAGCGACGGTAGAGAATGGACGATCCTGCCAGATCTGGACGAGCTATCCTCAAGTGGAGGGCCTCCAAGTTCTTCAGCAAACCATCTCCTCCGACTGCTAGCTGGGCGTGCAGTCGGACTTTCGTCGACATCTGTATAGATCAAAAAAATATTAATTATCATCTCAAGCAACCGTAAGCAAGAATGTTTACCAGTCGGAGAAATGAGCGAAGATTCTGACATGCGGTAAACACGGTCTTTCCATGACCGAATTTCCACATCTTTCATGTGGAGCTTTTTCTCTGCTTCTTTCAGTTCAGCTTCGAGCTCTTTTATTTGCTTTGCCTGCCTTTCCTCGAGAACAATATGCAGCCTTCTGTCGAGTTCCCTAGGGGATATAGCCCAATGTTGATTTTGAGGAGGCGACGAGCCATCGTCAAAAATTTCTATGAAGTCGTCCTGCAGGCTTACTGAACTGGAACTGCTAGACACATTTGATGGTTCCCTCTGCACAATTCTTGGTAAATTCACGTCAACAGAAACTAAAAGAACTTACTTCGGCCCCATTTGCCTTCCCAGTACTCAGGTTGAGCTGCATGATCTCCAACTCTGCCGCGAGTTCCGCTTCAAGCACGGCCATGGGATCCGTCTTTGTTTCTACTGTCACCACACTTGTCATGGACTCATCATCGTCATCGTGACAATCATCAGGAATTTCTATCCCAAATTTCGTGTTTTGCGTGTCTGTTGGCTGCTGTGGAAGCTCCATCTCTCTTTTCTTATACAGAACCATAAAAGTCATAGCAGCGTGTACGCCCATCGCAAACAAGAGCACCTCCTTAGCTGAAAAACCGTCAAGGTGAGCGAGTACAATGACAAACAAGATCCACAAACCTGAGCTCTCGTAAATGTTTGAACTTCCGTTGAGAGCCTTCCTTTTCCTTGCAGTCGGTAGCATAGCCAGAGAAGCCGGAACCGTATGTATATTTGGAGTCGCAGGCACAGAAGAGTCCCTGCTCTTGCTCCTCCCTCTCGACTTGCGGTCATATATCTTCTTCATTCTCGAAGTTGCCAAACTCCCATCCATTGGACCAAACATGTTATGCTTCTGCGCTGCTGCCATGGTAGTCCAGTCCAGGATATTGGGAAGATCATCCAGGCACAGATTTTCTACGTCTTGCTTCGAAGTAGTCCAGGAAACATCCCCCAAAGAAGTTCTCACGGTTACGTCCATGTCCACAGTTGAGATATCACCACCATTGGCACCACTTCCCGAGTTCCCTTCCAAAGAAAATCCATTCCTCGCCTGTGCCTCGTTGATCTCGACAGTAGTTCCTTCGAAGTCGTCCGAGCTGAGGCATTTTTCTTGGCATCTGCTCTGAGCTCTTGGCCAAGATGGCCAACCTTTCGTCTTGTTCTTCGACTTCAATCTCGACTCGTGAATCCCCTTTTGGAAGGAAGTAACAAGACTGGCCTCCAGCACGTCCCTCGGGCTGTTTCCACAGCATGATCTCTTCCATCGCTTGTCATCAACGCTCTGTGATCCACCAGCACCGTGCTCTTGAGTGACACTCTTCTCCTCTTCTCCGAGTCTTTCAAAACGGTCCTTCACCCGTAGAGCTTCTTCGCTTAACAAACAGTCGACTTGATCAGGTGGAGACCTGGAAATGTTTTCATCGTCGCTCAGCCGGAGCCTCTTACTCTGATTCGAGGAGGAGGCATTCTGGAGGCACCGTGCCAGATATCCCGATCCTGCCGCCACAACCCAGAGCCACATCTCCACTCCTCGATCATCTGTCACAGCGCAATGCAGCTTAGATCCCGCGATTCACCTCGAAATCTCGAGCGATCAAGCACGCTAGCAGGATCACGCAAAAGGGACCGATCTCACTCACCAGAAAAGGGAATCTCTCGCCTCCGCAGCTCGCATTTCTCATCGACCGGCCGGATCCATGGAAACCCTATTGCCTCCTCGGCGATCCTCCTCCAACCCTAGCGCCCTCCATGGCATTGAAGAACGAAGAAGTCTGCGAAGGGGAGTTTGAAAATATATAGAGTAAAACGTACAAACATACGCTACCGTCCCATCATTCGTCCGGCGGGTTTTGGAGGGAGAAAGCCCGGCCGTCAGAAGCAACCATCCGACGCCTGGGAGCTGGCCACGCGTTCGCAGTATTAAATGTTGACCGTTGGATGTTTCTCTTTGTCATTATTGGAGGGGGTGGCGCATCCAACGGTCATGGTTGCGTTGCAGGCCACCAAACGTACGATATTGGTCACTTTTTGGAACCATGAGATAGTGCTAACAGATGGAAAGGCCAATGATATTTCCACATAAGATAGGAGATCACATCATGGTAGGAGGTTTTCATTAGATAATAATAAATAATCCACCTCTATCCATTCACAATAACTTTGGTAAGTGGGTTATCGTTGATCTAAATTTGACACTGGTCATGAACTTGCTAGCAAGCTCCTCTTTCAAGATTGCAAAGGCTCTATGTTGCTGCTATGATTGAGATTGCTAAAGGTTATAAGTTTATCTTGGTCTTTCTTTTCAATCCATCAATGGTCCCTTAAGCATCCATTGATCTTGTTCCTGCTTGTATTTTCTTTTCTTTTGTAAGATGTATCGTGTGAACTCCATAGTTTTGATCTTTGTGTAAACTTCTATCAAGTTCCCAGTGTCAAGTTCACCCTTCTCCTAAGAAGTAAACCATGCCATCACCTTGAGCCAACAAAGAAAAAAAAAATTGGTGAAGAATATGTTCCTAATCCCTGGTACCAATTATTTGCTCAATCATCTTTGTAGTGTTTGGTATTTTACAAAGATTGATTTGAAGTGAAGGTATTATTAAATTTGTGTCACCAAAGGATGTTCCAAAGATGCCATTCCAAACAACACTACAAGTTTTTGGTAATGCTATTTTTTGTTTAATTTTCCATTGCTAATGAACTTCTAATGGTTACAGTGATGAAATCAAGCTGAGGAACCATGTGATGGCTCTTAGTGGACACTTGCCCATTACTTCTACAACATTATGATTCAAGCTTTTTATAACTCCTTTCAAAGCCCTTATATGAGACTTAATCACCTCAAAAGTTAATTGAAGTGTTGAGTTAGCGTGTAGAATTAGGATTAGATTGTGGCATTGACAAAATTGATCTTCAGTTTTTGCTTAAATAAAAAATATCTATGAAATAAGTTGTTATCAATCTACTGGTAGAAGGAATGTTAGCTTTTTTTTAAGCCTTTCTTAGCCTCTTAAAAAATGTTTTACCATTGTCATATATAATAGATAAAAACTATATCTCCAATATAATGGTAGCACAATTAATCCAATAACTCATGGGCCAAAAACTCTGCAAAAGTAAACATGTGTTGGCCCATGCAGGTCTCGAACCTGCGACCCTTGCGTTATGAGCGCGACGCTCTAACCGACTGAGCTAATAGGCCAATCTGCTCAATAGGGTTTGCTCACGAATTCGTTGGATCAAGGACCTAGATTGCCATGGCGTATGCCGTGGCAATGGCGTACATTGTCTTGTTCTCCCAACGCATCGTACGGCTACCTAGAAGAAAAGCTTACTGGTGATTGGTATGTAGTTAGTTCAGATTTACCGTCGGCTAGTGGATCCCAAAAGCAAGAGCTTGCCGTGACGAGCCCAGCGCCGTTCTTTTGCATGATCATACAGGTAACTATGGAGGAAGATTTAATAGAAATTTCAATAGAGCAAAGAGGGGAAGGAATTTTTACCAATATACTTGAAGGGCTTGTTTAAATTTACAAGCTTGGCCATGCATTTCTCGCAGACTGTGGATGTCCATTGGCCGATCTATAAGAAGATCGCCACTGATCGCATAGAGGTAAGACACACACAAATTTTTTGATGAATTCAATCCAAAGCTTGCCTTGTGATGCATGAATTGGGAGCTTGCGAGGGATTCATCGAGGCATTCCTTGAGGATGGTGTTCACGTCATCGCCATTGAATTTGGGCTGCGACAAGAGCAGATTGATCGATGGATTTGCGGGAGAATTTCTTCACTCACATCGATTGCCGGCTCGCTTGCTTCTGCCGCCGCAGCCGCCATTCTTCCGATCAGCTTGAAATCGCGAAAAAAATTCCAGGAAGAATCGATCAAATCGCCCTCGATCCTTCTTCCTTCTTCGTCAGATCAACAGAGGCGCTCCAAGGTTTAGGGTATTTAGCGCCACCTGGGAAACTACCTTTTGTGACGGGGAGAATGTTTTACGAATAAATGCCACGTTGCAAACTACTTTTCTGACGTGGGGAATATACTTTTTGAGTCTAGGGCTAACACTTAACACGCTATGGATGCCAGGCGCCATGTCTGGGAGGGCGCGATCCCCATTTCTTTTCAGCTGGATCCTTCCGAGATTGCTACGGCGCCAGCTCCTCTTCCGCTTCTGGTAAGATTTCGATTGTCCTGGTGCAAATGCAAATCTTGCTCTTTCATCGAAAGAATTTCCATTCCAAACATCAAAAATCTCGTGCTTGATGCGTTGTAGCTAATGGCTGCTCGGAATGGATACCTCCCCCTCCTCGCTACTCGAATCCGGCAGTATTTCCAGAACGCTGTCTTGTCTTCTCCTTCGTCTTCTACCCCTTCCAGCGATCAGATTCTATGGTTCGATTTCAAAGGTTTGCCTCTCAAATGGTATAATCTAGCTAGAACTTCCTTGTCACTTAAGATTTCTTTGGTTTTTTTAATTGTTTCTTTGGATGGATAGGCACATTCCTACTGGTGTTCTATTTGACTTGCTGTGTCTTGAGCCACAAAGGCCGTGGGATCTCACAGTAAGAATCTTTTCTACAGAAGCTTGCGTTTAGCGGCTGATATGACAGGTCCATTTTCGGGGCTATCCTTCCGAGATGATGGCTCCTTACGAGGGCGATGAAGCTGTGAAATGGAGCTTCATGAACACTCTGAAAGAGGTAACGCAATTGTTGTTTCTATGGCCTGTAAGTTCGAATACTTTGTCCAGGCGTCGTACATCATTCGTGGAAACACGAAGAACGTCATGGACTTGACACAGAACGACCAGAACAACCTGTGGAGCAGCATTGTGAAAGGTTTGCGACCTGTGTTTGATGTGGAAACTATATCTGTAGTTTGCTACTTCAGGGGATATGGAAGAACACGATCGCATCGCAGCTCAGTTTGTTGGTCCTGGGAGAATCGAAGGCAAGCCAGGTAGCTAGAAATCGTGATATGGTTTAGCTTTTTAACTCTATCAACTTGGACTCAGGAAAGGTACCTCTACGCCTTTACGTTCGTGCTGTGAACGGCGGTCTGGATGATCCTTTCTCTTTAGCCCCCGTCAAAAGCTGGAACGAAGTGATGATTCTGACGAGACCTGTAGAAATTCTTCGCCAAGAAGAAGGTGAGCTTGTAATCTTTCTTTTCCCTAGTTTCACTTACCTTCTGTTTGAGCAGGCCTAGCGTTCACCTTAGGAGACGCACTGGTGAAAGTTCTGCCTCAATATTTTGGTAGCAGCTCCGAAGATCCCGAGCATAGCAGTAGCGATTCTAGAGTTGACGAATACGGACCGGGTGTACAGTTCGATGGCACGGTCAAAATTCAGGGAATTCAGCCCAACCTCGACTTGCCTTTCGACTGGGTGGCCAGAAATTTGGCTGGACAAGAGCATTTCACCCACGTCTGCCTGTGGGTGCCCGGGAAATAAAGCTGACAACGTTTCTGTAAGTCAATTGTATCATTAGCTCCTCGACACTAGGGTTTTGTTTCGCTTCCATTTCAATGGAGAGCTCCTCGAGAAAGCACCATGTCCGCTGCATTGTGAAACTTGGTAAGTTTTCTCTTGTGAGTTTTATTTGGTGCTCACTATTTCCTGTGTGCCTTCCAGGAGGCGCAGCTATTACTTTCAAGGACAAACTCGAAGCTTTGAACCGCGAGAGTTTGTCTAAGACTAGCTTGCAGCTCCACGAAGCCATGGGAGGTGGCGTGTCTTTCAACATGGATTGGAGCAAAAATCTAGAAGTGCCAGATCGCATTGACATGGAGCTCCCTCAGAAGCGTGCCTTCGTTGTGGTCCATGGTGCAGGTATACTTTCAACACATTTTGTTCTAAGATTGTTGTTACTGTAGTCCTCGACTAAAGCTTGTAGATGTTTGCTTAAACAGGTTCTTTCGGGCACTTCCAAGCCAGCATTTCTGGTGTCAATAAGGGAGGCTTGGACAACTCGCTGCTCGTAAATGCAGGTTTTGTCGCAACAAGATTATCAGTTAAGTTGATCCATTTCTCCTCTAGTGACACATCATTTTCTGTAACAATCAGGTCACCAAACTCAATCACAAAGTCATCCGAGCGCTTGCATCACGTGAGTACTTTGTTGATCATTTGTGAGAAAACGTAACTATCTCAAATTCAGAGGGTATTCCTGCTGTTGGCATGCCCCCATTTGCTGCTGGGTGGTCAACTCATAAGCGCATCGTAGGTAATAGCTTTCTTGACGTCGTGTTACGCATATGTTTTTTCTGCAGCTAGATTGCGACAATGTTTCTGGAGTAAGGGAAGCTGTCGATGCTGGCTTTGTGCCCGTCAGTTTTGTTTTCTTTTATCCCTTGGACTCTTACGAAAGAACTTGCAGGTCTTGCACGGTGATGCTGTGCGCGATAGCCATCAGGTAAGTTTTCCGTAGCCTGACTTCCAGGTAACTTTTTACTTTTTTACCAGGGCTGCTGCATTCTGAGTGGAGATGTTATCGTCCGCCGCCTTGCGGAGGAACTACAGCCTAGCTATGTCGTCTTTCTTGTATACTGATTTTTCTCTTTTTCTCTTTTGCTTCGCTTTGAAGTATTTCCCTGACTGAATCGCAGACAAACGTTCCTGGAGTTTTTGATCGTCCACCGTCAGAAGAAAATGCAGTTTTACTGCAAGAGATTGGTACGTTTTGAGCTTTTGGAGACACTTAATTTTATTTCCTAGTTGTCTACGAGGATGGGACTTGGAGCATTGCAAGACCACGACTTGAGGCCCCAGGTAATCTTCTCACTTTAACTTCTCAATCTACTAGACTCGTTCGCTTGCAGTGAAAACCGAGATGGCCTCTCATGATACCACTGGAGGAATGGCTACAAAGATCGCTGAGGCAGCTTCCATCTCTCGGCTGGGAATGGATGTCTACATTGTGGAGGTACAAAGCTCTTTTCTTCCTTTTTCTTCTGATCTATCATTTCGTAACATAGGCTGGAACCGAGCATGCTCTCCAAGCTTTGAAAGGAAACATCGAACAAAACTGGATTGGAACAATCGTGAGGAAAGCGGACTCTACTTAATCTTCACTGTGAGACAAATTCGAAACTTACACTGGATTTTTAGCTCGAAGTAAGTTCTCTAGCCTGGCGCTTACCAAAGTGGAAGGAAAAAACTTCGCTTGGACTCGTAAGTTTCGTGGTAGATAAGAAATTTTCAATGCCAAGCCAACAACAAACTATCAAAGCATTGGAATGTGGTCAATTTGAGGATACGCTACATGGCTGGGACGACGTAAATGGGAGAAATATTCCTATCGTAAGTCCACGATGTTTCGTGCGGCACACGAAGATCCCATGGAATTTTTAACACCTCCAAAACAATGTGTGGATAGGCATTACCTACCAGCCCATATGCTTTGACCCCCAATCTCTGCCGTACGTGCCGTAGTGGTGTCAACGGTCACGATGCGCGGTAGGGCTCTTCGCATTGTGGAGAAGAGTAGCTTGGCCAAAAGCTAACCCACTGTGGACGTTTGTGTTTGCCCTACTGTAGTGGTCGCAATCAGCTACAGTGACCCTCGCCCAGCGCCTTTATCTTCGGTGCGCGCGCCAGGGTTTCTCGCACTGCCGTCTCGACTAGCAGCGGCCTCCAGATCCAGATCCACGACAATCTCGGCGCTGCTCGCGAGGTGAGGCACCGCTCGCGATTCCAGCTCGATTCTTCGCGAAATCTCTTCCGCATTTTGATCTAGATCTAGATCTTGATCCAATTTTCGTTGCCTTGTGCCAGATCCTGTGCCATGGCGTCTCACATTGCTGGCTACCCTCGCATGGGCCCGAAGAGAGAGCTCAAGTTCGCTCTCGAGTCGTTCTGGGATGGGAAGTCGAGCGCTGCGGATTTGGAGAAGACTGCCAAGGATCTGCGCGCCTCGATCTGGAAGCAGATGTCCGATGCCGGGGTTTCATTCATCCCCAGCAATACATTCTCCTACTATGATCAGGTCCTCGATACCACGGCCATGGTGGGAGCTGTTCCTCCCAGATATGGCTGGACTGGTGGAGATGTGGCCTTCGACACCTATTTCTCCATGGCGAGAGGGAATGCCAAGCAACCGGCTATGGAGATGACGAAATGGTTCGACACTAACTAGTAAGTATCTGGCTTGTTCATGTGATTTGTGGTGGAATTGCTAACGTTGTGGAAATTTTGGGCAGCCACTACATCGTCCCTGAGCTCGGTCCCGAGGTTAAGTTCACGCTATCCTCGCGCAAGGTTTTGGAGGAATACACTGAAGCGAAAGAGGTTGGTTTTATGGTTTCTTTGATTCTTGCTGGATGTAATTCTTGGATGGTTTGCAGCTCGGCATTGAGACTGTTCCAGTTCTGGTCGGACCATTCACTTACCTGTCGCTGGCAAAGCCTGCTAAAGGAGTTGCCAAGGACTTCGATCTTCTTGGGCTTTTGGAGGATCTCTTACCCGTCTACAAGTACTTTAAAATGTCCATTGTCATTTTTACTGAAGTGAGGTTCCAGGGAAGTGATTGGCGAGCTGAAAAGTGCCGGTGCCAAATGGATTCAGTTCGACGAACCAGCTCTTGTTCTGGATTTGGAGTCCCACAAGTATGATGTCTTTAAGAAGGCGTACTCCGACCTGGCACCGAGCTTTGGCGATCTTAAGCTTTTGGTGGTGACATACTTTGCGGATCTTCCAGCTCCGGCCTACGAGTAAGCGGATAATTTCCTGCCGTTTATCCATCTCATGTTTGTATATGCAGGCTGCTCACTGGACTTGAATGTGTGGATGGTGTGGGACTTGACTTGGTTCGCGGCACCAAGACTGTTGAATTGATCAAGGTAGCAGGGTTTCCTTCCTCGAAGAAGCTGTTCGCCGGTGTCGTTGATGGTCGTAACATTTGGGCCAATGACCTCGCTTCATCGCTCACGTTGCTCGGGGAACTGGAGAGCAAGCTGGGGAAAGGAAACGTTGTGGTATCGACGTCGTCTTCACTTCTCCACACAGCAGTTGATCTCAAGAACGAGACTAAACTCGACGCTGAGCTCAAGTCTTGGCTAGCATTTGCTGCTCAGAAGATCGTCGAAGTCGTTAGTCTTGCTGGGGCTCTCGGTGGAAAGAAGGATGAGGTCCGTTCATAGATTTCATGTTTTGCATTTCTAAGTATTTGTTCGTCTGCAGGAGTTCTTTGCGGCCAATGCATCTGCTCAGGCCTCTAGGAAGACGTCTCCTAGAGTCCACAACGACGAAGTGAAGAAGGCGGTAAGCACGTTCTAGAATCCCCCCTTCATGCCATTAATCCATGTACTTGGTGTCTCAGGCTGCTGCCCTTCAAGGATCGGAGCACAGGCGTGCAACTCCTGTGGCAGATCGTCTTGATGAACAACAAAAGCACTTAAAGCTTCCTATTCTGCCAACAACTACAATTGGATCTTTCCCTCAGACAGCTGACCTGCGCCGAGTGCGACGTGATGTGAAGAGCAAGAAGTAAGTGAAGACTTTTAGACAGGATTCTATCTTATGCATCCGTGCATCCGTGTGATCAGGATAAGCGAGGAAGAGTACGTGAAGGCCATCAAATCTGAAATTGCCAGCGTTGTGAAGCTCCAGGAGGAGCTTGATATTGACGTCCTCGTCCACGGAGAACCCGAGGTAGGATTTGGCAGATTCCATAGCTGATCTAATCTACATTGTCCTTTTTCGCCAGAGAAACGACATGGTTGAGTACTTCGGTGAGCAGCTGCAAGGTTTTGCTTTCACCGTCAACGGATGGGTACAGTCCTACGGATCCCGGTGTGTAAAGCCACCCATCATCTACGGAGATGTGAGCAGGCCCAAGGCAATGACTGTCGAGTGGTCTTCCTACTCGCAGAGCCTCACTAAGAGGCCCATGAAGGGAATGCTCACGGGACCCGTGACAATTTTGAACTGGTCCTTCGTCAGAAATGACCAGCCGAGGTGAGCTTTTGTCTTTCTCATCGACATCTTTGCTAACTGGCCTTACGTTTCATTCACCACAGAGAGAAAACCACGTACCAGATTGCCTTGTCCATCAAAGAGGAGGTCGAAGACCTTGAGAAAGCTGGCATCCATGTACGTTGTTCTATCGGTTTGTTTTGGCCGCGTGCTAACAAAAGCTATTCTGCCAGGTGATTCAAATCGACGAAGCTGCTCTACGAGAGGGTCTTCCTCTCCGCAAGTCCGAGCAGGCCGCCTACTTGAACTGGGCCGTCCATGGTTTCCGCATCACGTCGTGCGGAGTGAAAGACACAACTCAGGTAAAAGACGCGACGAGTTTCTATAGCTTCGTGAATGACACTGGCGTTGTTTGAAATCCACAGATCCACACCCATATGTGCTACTCCCACTTCAACGACATCATCACAGCCATCATCGACATGGACGCCGATGTGATCACGATCGAAAACTCTCGCTCGGATGAGAAGCTACTGTCCGTGTTCCGGGAGGGAGTCACGTATGGAGCCGGCATTGGACCCGGCGTGTACGACATCCACTCTCCGCGAATTCCAGACACCGAGGAGATGGCCGAGCGCATTCGCAAGGTACAAATCTTTCGCTTGGTTTCGCTCTGGAAGATCCTGATCGATCTTTTTTTTTTTTACTAGATGCTTGCCGTCCTGGAATCCAAAGTTTTGTGGGTGAACCCCGACTGTGGTCTCAAGACGCGAAAGTATGGCGAGGTTCTCCCGGCGCTTACTAACATGGTCAAAGCCGCCAAGATCCTTCGCGCGGAGCTAGCCAGCACTCACTGATCGATCCCCTCACCTGGAAAGCGAGAATTTTTTCCTATGGCAAAATAATTTCTAAAGTGAAATGCTATTTTGGCGAGTTTTATCTTAATTGTTTAAGCAAGAAAATGCGAATTGGTAAAGTGTAAGAAAATGCGCATAAATTGAATTAAGAAAGGGGTAGATTGTGCGTGGAATCGATCCGGTGCCACATTTTTCCCGCTCCGATTCAAAATTTTCTATCGAATATATAAGCAAGGCCGGCTGGCTTTAACGCATAGGGTTTTGCGAGCGCTTTGGAGATGGTATGGCGCTGCGTGTTCTTCCTTTTCGGTATGGTAATTCTTTGTTCTTGCTCTTCCAGGCGCAATCTCTCGCTGTGAAGCCGAAGACGGAGATTACCGAGAAGGAATCGCTTCAGCTGGTAAGCGCGCCGATCCGGAAGATCACGGCATTGCTCAGTCGTTCTTTTCCAGACCAGAAATCTCCTCCGGATCGCCGTCTTCAACATCAGCTACATCCGGGGATTGTTTGACGAGAAGTACTTCGCCGACACTCCCATTCCAGGCATTGGTAATGCGATTGCTAACGTTCTTTGGCGGAAACTGACAGAGATTTCGAGCAGATATGAAGGTCAAGAGGCTGCTTCCCTACGACAATGAGTCCCGGAGATTGATCGACTGGATTGAAAAAGGTTTTTGTTCTTTTTTTCTTGTCGAGAGATTTTCACTTCCCTGATATTTTTTTCATATCGTTCCTCAGGAGTGTATGATGCGCTGCAAAAGAAATACCTGAGATCGATGATGTTTTCCATTTGTAGCGGAGACGATGGGCCTCTGATTGAGGAGTATGAGTGTAAGTACCAAACGTCTTTCAGCTCTTTGATTTTTTCCAATGGCAATGTAGTCTCCTTCACCTACCCGGAAAACTCATGCGAAATGACAATTGCTCGGGCTGGAGATGAGAAATCCGGCAGAAACGTCAGCTCGGGCGATAAGACGATGAAGTCAATGAAGTAAGTAGTATTCTCGTAAAACTGACATAACGAGTTTTGGCTGGGCAGAAAATCCGTTTGCAGGATCGTGAGAACTCTCATTCAGCTTATGCGCACCCTTGACAACGTTCCAACCGAGGTAGATTTTCTTTGCTTGCTTGCCTCCAGCGAAACGATGTGATTGAATTACCCCTTGATCTCAGAGAACCATCATCATGAAGCTTCTATACTACGATCTAACGGTATGCCTTAATGTATGACGATGCTATCAACATTTTTGCAGCCGGAGGATTACGAGCCTCCGTTTTTCAGGTGCTGCACTGAAGACGACCAGATGAAATGGGTGAAAACTCCTATCAGAGTGAAAGTAGGGGATCTAAACAGCAAGCACTACGCTGTGGCTTTGAAGGTGCGTAGCATGTCTCGGTTTCCTTCTTCCTTTGACTTCTTCTTTTGCAGGTGAGAAGCACACTTGACCCTTGTGAGGACGAGAACGAGAGGAGAGACGAGAACGAGTGTGACGACTGCGAAGGTGATCAAACCGAGAAGGAACGCGTGGAGGTGGAAGCAAAGCTGCAGCAGCTCAAATGCAGCAGCAACGCCTCCACGATCGGTCTGTTTCGTACAGTCGGCTCCGAGGTGACCAGGCACGGAGACTCGGCTTCTGGCTTTTCAAAGAGGCCGCTATCTCCAACAACATCCATTTGCCAGGTACTCGATTGGTTAATGTTGCAAGTTTTTCTTTTTTGTTCGTTGACGGATATGCTTTTTCAGCCGGCCATGTCCAAGGAAAGCACGATCCCGGCTAGAGGAGCGGCTGCTTTGAACTGTCATAGACTGAGCCAAGACTGCATGGACATGGACCATATGAAAGCCAGCAAGGTCATTTGAAGATCCTCGTCTTTCTTGAACTCGATTTTGATTTGTTGCGCAGGTGCAAGAGCCGATCTACCAGCCGGCAAAGAAAATGCGAAGCAGCTAGACAGGAAGGCATTCGGTTGTATATAAACTTAGTTGTCGGACACGTGGACTCGCGGTTGTGCATCAGAGTAGCCCTAATTGTTCTGTCTTTCTTTCGTTGTTTTTTTCTCCTTCCTTCTCTCTGGTAAAGGCGGCACGCTGCAAACGCAGAGGTCAGTGGTTTTTCATTCTCGAAGATGCGCAGCTGACGATTTAATCCAATGCAGGGTGCTGGGAAAAAAAAATGCGGCCAGTTTTTCGATTGACAGCGCCTTGAAACTACATGAGAGTGACGGATTTGAATGGCGTATATGCTGGAAACGCGTTCTGAGGCATGCTATGGGCAAGCGTCTTTATCAACACTGGAAGGGACGAAATGTGAGCTTCCGGCTTTCGATTCATCTAGTTTTTCCTCACTCCTTGTTGTGGCAGAAGTTTCTTTTTGGCGGAAGGCTTGTGCTTGGCCCGGATGCAAAGGCTGTAGCTATTACCGTCGTTTTGATTGTTGTCCCATCCATCGTTTTCTTCTCCTGCGTTGCGAGGTACCTTTTTGACGACTTTCCACACCGCAGTGGAGTGGCAATTCTGGTTATAGCAGTCTTATACCTTACATGTGTAAGTTTTGTCTCGCTTTTCCCATTCACTGAGACGAGGACTGATTGATCGCTTCTCCATTCCAGGTGTTGACGTTCTTACTGCTCACCTCTAGTACAGACCCGGGCATTATACCTCGTAATCGCCATCCACCCGAAGTTGAGGACAGACCTCTGGATTTTGTATCTGGACAAAGCGGGAGAGTGCGGCTCCCACGAACCAAAGATGTCGTTGTAAACGGCATTGCGGTCCGGACCAAGTACTGTGACACTTGTATGCTTTACAGGCCTCCTCGCTGCTCTCACTGCTCGGTGTGCAACAATTGCGTGGAGCGTTTTGATCACCACTGTCCATGGGTTGGACAATGCATTGGCCAAGTAAGCTCCACTTCTTCCTGTTATCACTTACAGACCAGCTTTCCACTTCTCTTGCAGAGGAACTACCGTTTCTTCTTTATGTTCGTGTCGTTGGCAACGCTCTTGTGCGTCTATGTGTTTGCGATGTGTACCGTCTACATCAAGTCCGTGATGGACGACCGCCAGTGCAGCGTGTGGACAGCCATGGCAAAGTCACCGGCGTCCATCCTCTTGATGGTCTACTCCTTCATATGCGTATGGTTTGTTGGAGGGCTTACTTTCTTCCATCTCTACCTCATCAGCACGAACCAGGTACCTCGTCCTTCGAGCACGCTGCTAGAAACCCACTCCATCTCTTACAGATTCTTTGCGTTTCTTTCGTGCAGACCACCTACGAGAACTTCCGCTACCGCTACGAGAACAAGCTGAATCCGTACAACCTGGGCATGGCGAGCAACCTGCGCGACGTCTTCTGCGCGGCGATCCCGCCCTCCAAGAACAACTTCCGAGCATATGTTGACGACGAGGAGGACTCCCGGGACGAGGAAGCGGGCAGCCGGCACAGCGACTCCGGAGGCACCAAGACCACCACACTCCCCAGCGAGGAGGCGCTCGAGGAGGAGGATCAAGAGCTCCACACTTGCGGGAACAGCAACGCGGACGAGATCCTGGAGGACGGAACCGAGTACGACTATGGCGGCGAGCAGTCCAGCCCCGTCAACTCCTCGTCCAGGCGCTCCAGTTGGGACCACAAGAGCGTCGGCGATCATAGCATCTGGTAGAGCTCACTGCTCGCTCGAGAAGAGCTATATAAAGAGTTCATTTTCTTATAAGAATATTCTCTAACCGTATAGAGTGTATTCTCCCAGTTAGCCCTAAAAGTAAGTAAGAGCTCTAAGAATGCAAAATTTGCGAAATGGAAGAGCTTTGCTGATGCAGATGCTAAGCATGCGAATCACAAGATTGTTTAAGGAATCACACCTACATCCCATGAAATTTTCAAAAACTAAATTAATTAAAATGAAGAATCCTAATGATCGCACCATTGCTTACTTAAACAGATTGTAATCCATAGGAAAAAAGAAAGTAATAGAATTGATTTGGCATCTAATTAGAATATTCATTAACGGTGAGAATTTTTTTGTTCCAGACCGAGCATATTCTCCCAAACCAAGCAAAGCGCACTTACATTTCTAGGGCTCTTCGTCTCCTCCAAGATGACGAGCGCGTGGGATCCGGCCTACCTGTGGAGGCAAACCAGCAAGCTGCTGCGGCGATCCGAGCCGGAGGTCCACGTCCACGAGGTAAATCACGCCGAAATTCCAGCGCCGAGCAGCGGCGGGGGAGGAATCGAGAGGATATTTCCCGCGCTGAGCTCCAGGGATGTGCTGCTCGTCACCGGCGCCGCGGCGGTCGGCGGAGCTCTCGTCGTGGCGGCCGTGTACGCCGCGCCAGGGATTCTGTCCAGGTATCAGATCGAATGCCCGGCGTGTGGATGCCACTGCTGCGTTTGCTATGTCGCCCACCAGCGCCCGGCGGAGCTCGTTGCCAAGATGATCAAGGGAATTTCATCGTCGCTGGTAAGCTCGCGAATTTCTTTTGGAGAGTCTCGTGCTCTTTCTTCGTTCTCCTTTTTCTCGTTTCTCACTACATTCTTTTTTAACCTTTGGATATTTTCTTTGGTAAGGCTGCTGGAAAAGAGAAGATCCAGAAGGCTGTAGGATTCACCTCGGCTACCAGCGACGAGCATTCTCACGCAGACAACAACAATGGAAGCTGGACGTGCATCCAAGTCTCGCGGGACAAAAACTCTTCCACTACTGTGGATGTCGAAGAGACACAGGCGGCGGCTGTGACAGGCGACGAAGAGATCGACATTGACAACAGGCCTGGCTTGCCAGATCCTTTCTCCGCGACGAAGCGCAAAGGGTAGGCACTTCTAAAGTCTGGCATTCTAAAACACTTCATTCTTTGTCCTTGCAGCTATCTCTCGTGGGACGATTACTTCATGTCCATTGCGTTTCTCTCGGCTCAGAGGTCCAAAGATCCCATCCGACAAGTCGGAGCTTGTCTCGTTAGCCAAGACTACGTCATCTTGGGTATGAAACATTTCTCTTCCAGTTTTCTCGAGTTTCTCCCGCTAATGCTGGACTCTCCAGGCATTGGCTACAACGGCTTTCCTCGAGGTTGCTCCGACGATAAGCTTCCCTGGGCCAAAGTAAGCTCCATTCCATGTATTTTACTCTCGAGATTCACTTGGACCCTCTTTGCAGAAATCACGGGATGGTGACTTGCTCAAGACCAAATACCCGTAAGTCGTTTTCTCATTTGTTTGTTCTCTCCACTCGATTTCCTTCGTCTTTCTTCGTGTTTTTCCTGCTTTGACAGCGTCGTTGTTGTTATCTCTTTGCAGATACGTATGCCATGCGGAAGTGAACGCCATCCTGAATAGGAATCACGCCTCAGCATCCGGTCAGGTACTCGTCAAATTCATGCCACGTTGAAAGCTCTCCCTTCACCCGGATCTCCGTTTAGAGGCTCTACGTGACCATGTTCCCGTGCAACGAGTGTGCCAAAGTCATAATCCAGGTACTGAAATCTTACTACCCTCCGATTAAACTTCTCGTTTCTCTTTTCAGGCAGGAATCGCCGAAGTGATCTTCTACACCGACAAGCAATCGCACCCCAACTTTCAATTCACAGCCTCACGCAAGCTGCTGTCCATGGCCAACGTTAAGGTAAGAAAGATCCTCCAAGTCTCTGGGAACTGGAGAAAATCACAGAAGAACTGTTGTGTCTTTGCAGCTCCGACAGCACCAGCCCAAAGCAAAGTCCATCATTCTCGAGTTCTAAGCAAGAGTGAGCTTCCGTACATATATATACACTAGACCAAGGAGATCACTCTCCGTACGTAATAGCTATTGACGCTAAGAAGTTTTGTCCGTGTAGACGAGGACTAAGAACTTGGTGATCTCTTGCGAGACGATCTTCCATTGCGTGTTCTTGCCGCTCTGGTTGTGATCCGGGTGGTAGAGCCGCAGCGCCTTCTTGAGCGCCGATCGTGGCGACTGGACGCTCTCGTCGACGATCCGAACGCGATCCGCGGGATCCAGCCCCGGCGGCGGATGCTCCGCGAGGAGAAACTCGAGGAACTTGGGCAGATTGTGCTTGTTCTTGGCGAAATTGGCCTCGAGGCGCATGAAAACTTTGGTCTTGAGCTCCTCGTGATCCCTGTTCTTGCTCTTCTTCCTCATTGCCAGGGCCTGGTACGCGCTCTTCATCCTCTCCACGAGCTTGGAGAAATTCTTCCTCCTCTTGTGCTGGAGCAGTGAATCGCCGATGGCGATGGCGCTCGTGTAGGCGCTCTCGCCCTGTTCTTCCAGCCCCAGCGTGACGAGGAGCTGCCCCACGCCTCCCAGCGCGAGAACTCGCGCCTCCTCGTCGCAATCCCTCGCCAGGAGCTCCGATTCGCGGAACTGATCCAGTGCGCTCACCAGGATCTCCAGCCGCTGCTCCGGATCCCGTGATCTCCCGGCCAGCTCGCGGAAATCCTCGCCCTTCTTCCTCGCCTGGATGGATTCGCACAACCGGCACTTGAGCTCCACGCGCCGCTGGAGCTCCCGGAGCTCGTGCCGGAAGTCGCGGAAGGCGCGGCCCTCGCATTGCGCGGCGGCGACCTCCAGCGGCGCCGCGCAATCGCTGAGGATGCCCAGCGCAGCGAGGAAGGATCTTACAGCCTCGCCCCTGTCCGCGTCCTGGATCATCTCCTCGGCCTTGCGGAGGAGAGCCTCGCAGTACGCCCTGTGAAGAACAGCGCTGGCGTGGATTGAGCCTTGGGGGTGGCGCTGGAAGATCTTGCAAGCCTTGGCGAGGCTGGATTCCGAGCCGAGAACTGGATCGCTGGCCGCGATGGCGGCAAAATCCAGCAGCGCCGCCTTGATCCCCGCGATCCAATCTTTGGACTGGATCCCCGATCCGTAGGAAATGGCGTCGAGGGAATCCCTCACGGAGCTGGATAGATGGAAGCTTGCGACGTCCTCACCGCAGCAATCGTGGCGGAGGAGCGCCACCATCGCCAGCCGCCTGTGCGCCGACGCCAGGTTCTTGTGGCACCTGGATCTCTCGGCGCGGTGCTCATCGCCATCGCCAGCGCCATGGGAAGATCGATCGAGGTGGACGAGAGCGGAGGAGTAGGCCGCCACTGCCTTGCTCAATCGATCATACCTCACCAGTGGCGAGAGATTCTCCGAGTCGCTCCAGAAATGCCTGTTGCCTCTCTCGCGCAGCGAAGAAGCCGCCATCTCCGCGAAGAAACCTCTCTCTCTCTCTCGCCCGCGACGTAAAGTTGACCACGAATATTCCAATATTGTACGAAAATAGGGCATTTTACCAATCATATTTGTAACACTGCATTTAATTCATAAAAGTACTTTTTAACCCCTTGGAATACGCGAGATCTCGTTGAAGACCATAAATATTTTTAGCTTAAGATAAAAATAACGGTTTTACCCCTTATAATATTAAGAATATACCACCTTTAAAAGAGGATTAGGGCTTTAGAACCCTAGTTTCTTGAGCTATGGCGAGAGCGTCCTATCGCTCGGTCGTGGTGGGCGCCGGTCCAGCGGGGCTGGCAGCCATCGCCAATCTCCTCGACGCGGGCATCCATCCAATCCTGTGGGTGGATCCAGCCTTCGCGGCCGGCCGCCTCGCCAGGTACCAGCGAGTTCCAAGCAACACGAAGGTCCAGCTCTTCGTGGATTTCGCCATGGCGTCGCCCACGCTTGCTCGCCTCGCTGCCACCATGTCTCCGCCTCCTCTAGGTGAGTTTGAGAGCATGGATCCGCAAGGCACTTGCTTGCTCAAGGACACGGCTCGGATGGTTTCGCAGCTCACCCGAGGAATCCAGCAGCACCTCGCTGACAAAGTCGATTGCTACCAAGGATGGGTGACTCGAGTTCATGGCTCATCTAAGGTTCGTCACGGTTCTCTCTCTTCCTTCGTGTTCGTGGAGTCGTGAGTGATCTTCCTTGAGAATGAATGACTTGTTATAGTTCTCGTGCAGCAGCCATCTTGGTCTGTTGCTCTCGGCGTCGAAGCTCAAGATCAAGAAGCTACTGTGGTCGACACGGACAATGTGATCTTCGCCACAGGTACGTCTCCCACTCCAGACTTGATCGTAAACAACTCTCCTTGTTTTATCAAGGTTCTCATCCGATCCCCTCGCATTCCTCCTGGGCTCCTCATCAACTCTATACCCGTCCCGAGCATGCCAAGATGATCGAGGAGCTGAGCTTGGAGACCGCTCTCGACCCCGGCGCGCTACAATCGGCAGTAACTCCCTCCGACGTTGTAGCTGTCGTCGGTGGAAGCCACTCGGGCGTTCTCTGCCTCAGGAATCTAGCCGAGCTTCCAAACAGACCACGCAAGATCCTTCACTACTATCGGTACTCTTTTCGTTTCCCTTTTTTTTCTTTGCTCGATTGATATGAGTTCTTGGAGTTCTTGTACAGGCAAGAGCTCAAGTATGCCGTCTACATGGACGGCTGGATTCTATATGATAATACGGGACTGAAAGGTGACGCCGCCGTTTGGGCGAAGCAAGTCCTCGAGCCGGGCCTCGTTCCACGCCTCGACTCACACCACCTCAAGAGCCCCGAGAGCGAAGCCGAGATTTACAAGGCAACCATGCCTGAGGTGACCAAGATCATCTACGCGATTGGCTTCCAGAGGAACAAGCTCCCGGAGATGGTGCTGGAGGAGTTTCACGGTGGAGGCTCCAAGGATCATGGAGAGCGTGTCAAGCATTCTCCACAGAGTGGGAAGCTCGTCCTGGGCGACAAGCCCATTCCTGGGCTGTGGGGATATGGGATTGCGTTCCCGGAGGAGACTGTGGATCCTCTCGGGAACAAGGAGTGGGCCGTGGGACTGTGGAAGTTTATGCGTTACATGAAGAAGGTGATCCCTGAGAATGTAGCGCCAGAGATTATGAGTAATAGCAGCAAACTATAATAATTAATAATCGAATCAATAAAAGAATTATTGTCAATAAATCAAATATATAAGAATTATAAATTATAAAGATAAAGGCAAATAATTATAATGTAAATTTTATATTTCATACAATTAAATTAAATATATTATTATTTGTTTTTTTGAATACACTTTCATAAAAATTTTATAAGCATATTTATTAGTAATTTCATATCAAATATAAACTAGCAAAAATGTTTAAAATTATTTCGATAAATAACAAACATAACCACAATAGGATTAAAAACCATGGCCTTTAGATCTTTTTGTTTATTCTTGGGGTTAAGATTTGTGGGTGGTGATGCGCGATGGCATCTTTTCCAGTAAAATTAATTATAAATTTAGATTTTTTCAAATTAAATATTTTTATTTCAATTTTTTATTTCTAATATTTATTATTTGCAGGTTTTAATATGTTTTTATGGGAAAATTGTAAAATCATAAATGATCAAAAAGTTATAAAATAAGCTAGTTTTTAATTTTTTTTTCATATGACTGTTTTAAAACTTTAATTATTCAATTGGATTATTTATTTCTCTCTATCCCACTTTCAAAAGATATATAATATTGTTATTTGTTATTTAAAAAACATTTGTAATTATTAGCTATATTCATTAAAGCTTAATTGGGAAAAATTTATGCTGTATAATCACTAATAAATTACTACATCAAGTATCAATAAATTCATTAAATTAGATACTAATATCATCAAAAATAATTAAATAATTAAATATTTTTATTATAAAAATATTATAGTAATTATTTTGTTTTTTTTATATAAGAAACTTGTGAAAATTATTATTAAAATTGTGATTGACTAATTTATTATAAATTATTTTTCAATTTTTATATATTTAAAACTTTGATTAAATAAAAATATTTAAAAGAAAAAAATTGAAAATAAATATATAACATTGAGAATAACTTTCAAATGTTAAATATAAGAAGTTTTTTATTAGATATTGTTATTTTATAATTATAACTATAAAGTCGGTAAATACTAAGAACTTTATTAGCATTTTTCATTTGAAACTCTACAATGTTACAAGATAATTTCAAAAATATAAATTTCAATATAATAAAATAACATATATTTTTCTTGTAATTTGACTTCAGGGAAATTAAATTGATAAATTTAAAATTCTGACGATGATGTTCTCGTCCATAATAAAAGGATAAGGTGAAAATAAAGGTGGCAAATCAGTGAGTGCCACGTCACCACAATCTGCGTGCTTTGAGCCTCAAATAGCCGCGCTCATGTGGCTCCCACGTGGCCGCAAACCGGCGGAATCGGTAGCGAACACTATCTTCCGTCTCGGGCCGGCGGGAGCCGCCAGTGGTCCGGTCACCCACCACTATAGAATGGAGCTGGTAAGCAACGCTAGACTTTGAATGGGCAGTGCGTGTTCCAGCCACGCGCACCAGGTGGGCGCTTTTGACCTAGAAAGAGGGCTCAAATTGGCGATTCATGAGAAGAAGTATCGTTTCCTTGCTCGCCAGTAGCTCGCACTCTCTCCTCAAGCCCTAGGATCGAATGCGCGCGCCAGACAGATCTGGCTAGGTCTTGGGCAATCTGGACGAGAAATGGCTGCCACAGCCGCAATTGGCCTGTGCTCTTCGATTGGCTCGATAACGGAGGTTTGCAGCAGCTCCAGCAGCTCCAGAATTGTGGAGGTCGCAAGGATTGGCTGCATCCATCGAGATTTTGGTAGATTTCCCAGGAAGGCTGCGCTCGTGAGAGCTTGCTCCATTGGTGGAGGAGGAGGAGACGCTCGTCTTCCTCCCAGTCACAGGGCCAAGGCTGCGAGTTTGGCAGCTCTAGAACAGCTCCGAAATGCCGGCGCCGACAGTAAGTTTAGCTTTCCTTTTTTTTTTTCTCGTGAGCTGATAAGATTGGATTGGATTGTGTTCTTGGCAGGATACACTAGCGAGAAGAGCAGCATTCTAGTGATAGGATTGAGCGTCCACACAGCTTCGGTGGAGCTACGTGAAAAGTTGGCCGTGCCAGAGGCGGAATGGCCACGCGCTATCGGCGAGCTCGTCTCTCACAACCATATAGAGGAGGCGGCGGTTTTAAGTACGTGTAATCGCATGGAGATTTACGTGGTGGCTCTCTCGTGGCACCGTGGTGTCAAGGAGGTGACCGAGTGGATGTCCAAGGTGAGCTCTCAAGTTCTTGGTGCTAGAGTCTTAAACACTTCCTTTTGTATTGGTAGACTAGTGGAGTTCCTCTGGAAGAACTCCGGCAGCATTTGTTCATACTACGCGACCGAGACGCGACGCAGCATTTGTTCAAGGTGTCGTCCGGATTGGACTCGCTGGTGCTGGGCGAGGGGCAGATTCTCGCGCAAGTCAAGCAGGTGTTCAAGGTCGGGCAGGGTGCCAACGGATTCGGCAGGAACTTGAATGGGCTCTTCAAGCAGGCGATCACGGCTGGCAAGAGAGTCCGGACGGAGACGAGCATTGCGGCCGGGGCGGTGTCGGTGAGCTCCGCGGCGGTGGAGCTAGCAGCGATGAAAGTTGCGAGCTATGGAGGGCTCTCCGCGGCTCAAGTCGTGATCGTCGGTGCCGGGAAGATGTCCAAGCTGCTCGTCAAGCACCTCATCTCCAAAGGCTGCACCAAGATGGTGGTCGTCAACAGGACGCAGCAGCGCGTGAGCGAGCTCCAGGCCGAGTTTCCAGACTCCACGCTCGAGTACCAGCCTCTGGACGAGATGATGAGATGTGCCGGGGAGGCCGACGTTGTCTTCACGAGCACAGCGTCAGACCAGCCACTCTTCTACAAAGATGACGCTGAGAAGATCCCGGCTGCTCCTTTGGGAACCAGGTTCTTCATCGATATCTCGGTCCCTCGAAACGTTGCGGCCTGTGTTGCCGAGGTCCCCTCCGTCAGGCTCTACAATGTGGACGACTTGAAAGAGGTGGTGGCCGCCAACCAGGAAGAGAGGAGGAGGAAGGCCATGGAGGCCCAGACCATCATCGAGGAGGAGCTGCGGAGCTTCGAGGCGTGGAGGGACTCGCTGGAGACGGTGCCGACGATAAAGAAGCTGCGAGCTTACGCGGAGAGGATCCGGACGAGCGAGCTGGAGAAGTGCCTGGCGAAGATGGGAGGCGACGAGTTGTCCAAGAAGAACAGGAAGCTCATCGAGGACCTCAGCCGGGGAATCGTCAACAAGCTGCTCCACGGGCCCATGCAAAACTTGAGAAGCGATGGCAGTGACGCCAGGACGGTGAACGAGACGCTGGAAAACATGCACGCTCTAGAGAGGATGTTTGATCTCAAAGCCGAGCTTGGTGGTCCCCTGGAGCTCAGATCCGCCAAGCAGCCCCCACCAGCAGCACCACCTTCCAGCTGACCACCACAGAAAATCCGCTCGCTACGGACGATCGAACGATCTCGGAAAGGTTTGTCTCTTCTTCTTTATGTTTTTGAGAGCTGAGCTGACGGAATAACACGGCACTGATACCAGTGCCTTGGATTACTCCTGGAAATTGTAAGAAAACATTCATATGAAATCAAACGCGGCACATTGTCGGTGTCCAAATCCAATCATACATACTTCTCACGTTCTGGGAGACGGCCAACGCCTACTTGTTCCCAGCTCCAGAAGTTGTGAATAGGCTCTGAAGTCCACCTGGAAGTTGACCGTGCTCGTTGGCTCCAGAGTGTGGGTTTTTCGTCACCGATTATATTATAAGCTGTATTTTTATCTTTATTATTGGATACATAATGTGTAATTAAAGTCTGTCAAAATAGTATACGTTTAATTGATATTTATGATATATTTTATAGATCTTATTTTTCTCTGACACATCGATATACAAACTCAAAAAGAGGGGAAGTGAGCATAGCTTTTAAAACTTCTTTGATCAATTTCTGGATTCTTAGTATCAAGAAATTTACAGAAACCTATAAATACCACAAAAGTTCTTCATGTGTCTACTGCAAAAATATTGTTGCCAGACACACTTGACTGATAAATTGTTTTATATGGAGACTTTGAGAAATACAATTAACCATCATATTAATAAATGTCAAAGGGTATGGCTCATTGTGCATTTGTCAAGTGATTGTAGTATTTATGCAATTAATAATAAAAAATTTTGAGGGTCATGCAGTGCCTAATTGGAAATATGAGACCACAATGCAATTGATGCAAATGAATTGCCAATCCTTCAACTTTTAAAGCATGAAAATATTATATTAGTTAAAAGTATCATGAGATGCAAATGAATTGTCAGTCCTTCAACTTTTAAAGCATGAAAATATCATATTAATTAAAAGTATCATGAGAATCAAACAGAATAATAATTTGCTATGTGTTGCATATTCAATTGATCAATTAGAATCATGTTTATAATTTATAAGTAAAAAATTAATTTTATTATAAGTATTTAGGACAGTTTATAAAATATAAATACAAAATTAATTTAACTGTTTGATGGTGGTAGAATATCCTAAAATATTCAAATATATTCTAAGTATGTCCACTCCCACCCCTTAGGCAAAAATATATGATTGACAAATGAAGGGATGCATTTACTATTTGAAGCAATTAACATATTATTGCATTAGCAGCAAGCCAGGGTTGCTGCTTTCGCTCCACAATGTCCGACTGATGCTTGGAGCCACACCGTAAACGAAGACTTAGGATGGTCTTATGCCCTCATGGTAAAAGAAAAATGTTTATATTATCGGCTGAGATGCAATACGGCATTTGTTTAAGGCTCTAGCAAGAGTCCAAGGTCCGCCCACAGTGGAACTTGAATGGCCTCTTGGTTAGCTCCATCACTCCAATCTCCATCAGATTCTCTTGGGCGAGATCTTGATTGTTGGCGCCAGAAAAATGTCCAAGCTGCTCGTAAAGACAAAGATCGTGGTCATCACACGCTGGACGCCCCCAGCCTGCCAGATATTTCAATCCCTGCGACCTAAGCTTGTGAGTACTTAAACAAGGACCCAGTTGATGCAATTGATTCTAGGGAGCAAAGAACAAACGAGAAAGTCCAAGCTCTTCGCATTGTTTGTCTCATCTCATCACTTCCACCTAGCTCCAGCTTCGACCACCCGTCCAATCCAAACACGTACCTCTTATACATTTGCTCTCAATTGCTGTAGTAGCTATAGTCTTTAAGATCGGGCTGGAACCTTCGAAAGAGCTCGTTTCGGAACAAGTTCTTCATCGCAAGTCTCTTCATGTAGATGGGAACGAGTCGGTTTCGTCCACCTTCTGGAGCTGGGAACAAGTACGCGTGGCCGTCTCCCAAGAGTGGTTGGAACGTGAAGGAGTTGTGAATAAGCGTTCCCCATCCGAAGTTCACCTCGAAGATCGGGAAGTTGACCATACTCGTGCTCTGCACGTCGCCTCCAGAGTAGAAGTCGCAGGCAAAACCGATGTCTCTGTCGTTCTTCTGAAGCTCAATCTCCATCCAGTCTATCACCGACTTGAGGTACTCCGTCGTTGTGGCTGAGAGGTCGTCGTAGATGAGCTTTGCAGCGTAGGAGACGTGCTTGTTCTTGATGTCCCCGGCTTTCGCTGCTAATGACGAAATATGAGCCGTGTTTCCAAAGAAGCCGCGAGGAAGAGGTGGCTGCCAGCGCTGTCTGCAGCTTATCGGGTAGACATATCGAGTTGTGGTGTCGTCCGGGAGCTCTCTGGCTTCGGTCATCACCTTCCAGGTGAATGCCGCCATTGCAACGAAGCTGGAGGCTTCGACCTTCCAAGGACCGTTTCTGACCTCCTGGATGATTGCGTCCACCTGTTGAGCTGTGAACCTGAAGGTGATAGCTTGGTATGGCGATGGAGCTCCTTCCTCAAAGATCTGATAGTTGCTGCTGAGAGAGCCTTCAACCTTGGGAACTGAAATGTAGTCCTTAATGGGAATACTCACCACTGGTGGATCTCTGGCTTTCATCAGGTGATTTGCAAACACTGGCGGAGTTGACACTGGAAGATGCGTATGAAGTTCCGACCATGATTTTACAAACTCCATCGCAGCCCAGCCATCGTGAATTGCATGGGCCATACTAAATCCCAGAGCGATCCCTCCACACTTGAAGAGGGTAGCCTGGAAATAAAATCAGCGAAGTTTCGAGTCTATTAATTTTACCTGAGTTCGTATGAGTGGAGCGGTGTTGTAGTCCGCTATGATTGTATCTTCAAATGTCAGCTTGGCTTCTATGGTGCAATCCTTGATGTCTTCCCAGTCATCGAATCTTGCCTCGGTAACTGCCTCGCGAAAAATAACTCCCTTGTCATTCAGCTCGACTTCGAATCTGTTATTCTCGTTCTTCACCAGCCTCCCCGCGAGAGCTGGATAGTAAATCAATAACCTCGACAATGAGTCCTTCAATCCTTTGAAAAAAGCATCCTGGTCTTGAATCAAATGATCCGAAGCTGGCTTGAAGTACCACACGGTGTTCATGTACCACTGGCCTGTAAACACCTGATCTAAATTCGAAAGGAAACGTCGTTCCTGAATTGGTGTTGGAGATGCCGGGACGATAACAGAGGTGGACTTCAGATCGACTCCCCATAGAGCTCCCATTCTCTCTTGAATTCGCGAAAGGGTTGAACCACGCTTTATCGAAGGCTATATGATGGCTGTTGCAAGTTTAATTTTTTTTGGAGCATCGTTTTCCAGTCACATAGGTCAAAGGATCTTCGCTTGAAGAGTGGGTGTTGTCGCTTCTAGCATGCAAATTAAGATTCGCAGCCATGACAAATCAAGCTCATCTATCTTGATCAGGACAACTCTACCATGCTAATTTAACGCGTTCTCCGTTTATCGGCACTCGCTCTTGGCCCCTTTGACCAACTGCGTCCACTAAGGAGATCAAGGCGCTTTTCCTTCCTAGCAGGCTTTCAAAAATTTGCTTATGCTATGTTTCTTAAGATTAAGCTTTATGCCTTATCTTTTTTCCATTAACTGTTTTGCCTATATGTACAATATAACAGTGCAAATAGTTGTCAACCATAGATACAAGTGACCTGCTCAAAATTCATATTATTTAATGCATTATTGATTTGAACAAGTTTAAGCACACGTAAGTGACGAGAAGTGCCTGTCACTTTTTACTTCATCAACCCATTTTTAATATCAGCAGCACCTCCATCATGCTCACCTGAAATTTTTTTAAATCATGTCAATGTTGAAATTCTTGAAGTGCTGTCCAATTTGCTAAAAAGAAACTCTTGATTTGAATTGTTCAGCACAACCATCACTTCAAATGTAGTGTCTCTTGTAAATAACTCCTTGTTTTAGCAACCAAAAGTGATAGTATTTGAGGCAATGTCGAACAAATACATTTCTTGTCATTGTCATTAGCGTTTGACAAGTAAAAATGAAAGTACTTTTTCACTTAGTCACTTCTTGGAATACATAAGTGTACCAAAATGTTTCCTTGCTCATTCTCCCAGTGCCTAGATTGCACTTTCCATGAAGCTATAGTTTTTGGTGAAGTCAAGAATAAAAACTATAATTTCAATTCGAAAGTTAGTAAGATATATCAAAAGCTATTGCTTGCCACTTAGTTCAAAAGTTGTGTCAAAAACTTAATAGTATTTACTTTTAACTCATATATCAAGTTTTCTAAAATGGTTTCCACTTCTGAAAACAGTAGTTTTCTCAAAACTTTCATCTTGCCTCTTGCTTTCAATTGCTCCATTTGAACATCTTTTTAATTTTGATAAATTGTCTCTATTTGATCTTGTAGTTGCTTTCTGTTTCAAACTACTTTGGACAGAGACACCACAAATGTTATATTGTTAGTAGATACAATTTGGATTGTGCCATTCAATCAAACCTCCAGCATCACAAATGCAAATCTTCTAAAATTCTAAAAGGTTGTTTGGTGTTTTCACCTTTGCTTCACATTCTTTTCCTGGTCCATATAGCTCGCATTTGCAATTGCAACCATTATGAGGACCTCACTTGTCAAGCCTTAGTTTCTGCAAACCTTGAATGATGTACTTCATCTTCATGTGATCAATACAACAACATATGTTGCATTCAATTATCAGCTTCATAAATTGGAACTACAAAAGAGAGAAACTATAAGTGAAGCTCAAAGTTGATTTCACTTTACAAACTAATAACACAGTAAAAGTGTAATGAACTAAACACCACTCACAATCACAAATGCAATTAAGTGGTGGGAAGTGAGTGAGTTTCAAGTGAAAGTGATGCAGAGTCCTAAAAATTAAGTGAGTCTAAGTGAAAATCAAAGGTGCCAGTAAAATCAAGTGAATATAAGTTAAAATAGAGTATAAATTTAGAAATCTAATAGTGAGAAGCAAGAGGATATATGTGAATCAAACTGAATAGGTAAGTGATTGTAATTGCAATTTATTTCCAACCAGTGCATCAAATGTTCCTTGTAAACTCCATGGGACACTCTATGTTGACAAATGTCCTTCCTATTTGGCAACATGCAAATGTTACAAATTCAGAAATCATGTATCACTTCCTTGATCTCAAATAGTATCTCATTTAAATACTTCTTCTATCTATCTATTGTTTACAGCAAGTGAAGAAATCAAAACTCTCATAAATTTGAGTTAATCCATGAAGTTTGCTCTTTTATTCAGGTTGAAAGTGGCTGAGGACTATCTCCTTATAGAGATTAAGATCACTCTTAGTGAGCCCTGTGTACAAAGAAAAATTAAAATATATTAGAAATTTTACTGATGGATGAAAGCTAGATATAACATGGAAAAAGTTCTGTATGTGTAGAACCAAGCCAAGAATCTTACATTGAGTGGTGAGGGAGAATGTAAAGGTGAAGTTCTTGAATATACAAGCTATATGGTTGGCAATTCTTTGCTTTGCACAAAATGATGGTTATGACCTTGAAATTGTCACAACTACAACACTTCTTGAGTTGTCACTCACACTTTCAATTAGTGCTGCTGCTCACTATACTGGGAGGCAATCACTTGGCAGCACAACAAGTCTTGGAGAAGTGCAAGAAAACTTTAGCCAAAACTATGAGATTCTTTGGGCTAATAGCTAAGATTCTAACTTATAAGGCCCAAATTAAAAAAAAAGTGATATGTATACCCATCTGATCAAATACAAACTATCAACAAATCAATAAACTTATCTACCACTAAACACTTTTCTTGGTACCTGTTTCATGCTTTTACCCTAAACTTCTCTTCTCTTTTACAATATTAAATATAATAATAACAATAGTATTTTTTATGATGTTGAACATTTCAATTTATATCTTTTTTATTTAGCTAATAATGAATTACCTTTATCGTCATTTCTTATTTACATTAGATTGATATTTTCTTAGCCCTTAAAAAAAATATTTATCACCTTTTGATAAATATTTTATAGCTTCTACACATGTGCCACTGAAGAGCATGAGTAGTTAATTGGTTAGTGGTTTACTTTGTGTTCTTCTCATATCCTCTAATGAACCATGCCACGGTCTGGATTTTGGGGGAGCTAAGTAGTGCCACCTGATCCCGATCCGTGGGCAGTCAAAGAATTTGAGCCCCGTGAGCATGGACTGGGAAATGATTCTGCCAGAAAACTCAAAAGACTGATATGCGACCCACATCAACTGGAAGTTGAACGGGGAGATATTGCCGACCACGAATTCCGCAGGAGGACTAACTGAAATTAAAGTCTACATGTTTATGATATAGATGTGTTCTATCGAGCAGTCCTCTTGTATACAGGCTTGACTGGCTGGTTGACTTTTGTCACTCTACTTGCCAATCTTACAAAAACATAAAGCAAAATCCTTAATCTAAACCAGTTGCAGGCAGGGAAAACAGATTTTCACAAGCTGGTCCTGGGTTACTCTGGAAAAAAGTGGAGCAGCTTGTTTGAAAACAATAATGCTCGTCTGGACGCTCTTGCCAGACGTGGTCGCCGGCTTGAAGAGTGACGACCTGCAGCAATTGGGACGAAACAAATGTCGCGTCACGTAAAACAAGCTTTTTTCGGTCATGAAGGTTTACGCATCAGATATCTTTGATAGCAAGGAGTTCGTTTCATTGTTATGAAGCATTCGTGGAGTCGAATACGTTCCTTGTGATGCAAAAGCGTCAAAGAGTGGTTCGCGGGCTCGGTGCTGCTTGTATTTCAGCGTGCGCTTGGTGGCAGTGATGAAAGTTGCGAGCTATGGAGGGGCTCAAGTCGTGATCGTCGGTGCTGGAAAAGATGTACAAGCTGCTCGTCAAAGGCTGCACTCGGCTGAGCGACGTTGTCTTCACGAGCACAGCACTCTTCTACAAAGGTAACGCTGGGAAGATCCCCACTGCTCCTTTGGAAACCAGGTTCTTCATCGACATCTCGGTTCCTCGGCGTCAAGCTCTACAATGTAGACGACTTGAAAGAGGTGGTGGCCGCCAACCAGGACGAGAGGAGGAAAGCCATGGAGGCCCAGACCATCATCGAGGAGGAGCTGGGGAGAATTATAAAGAAGCTGGGAGCTTACACGGAGAGAATCCGGATGAGCGAGCTGACGACCCCCACCTACAGAAACGGCAGATCGAACGCACACGGCACTGATACGCGTGCCTTGGATTACTCGTAGAAAAACTTCATATGAAATCAAAGTTGTACACGAGCACATCGTCAGTGTCCAATCCAAACACGTACCTCTTATACAATGGATGGTTGTTCCTCTCAATCGCTGTAGTAGCTATAGTCTTTAAGACCGGGCTGGAACCTTCGAAAGAGCTCGTTTCGGAACAAGTTCTTCATCGCAAGTCTCTTCATGTAGATGGGAACGAGTCGGCTTCTTCCACCTTCTGGAGCTGGGAACAAGTAGGCGTGGCCGTCTCCCAAGAGTGGCTGGAACGTGAAGGAGTTGTGAATAGGCGTTCCCCATCCAAAGTCCACCTCGAAGATCGGGAAGTTGACCATACTCGTGCTCTGCACGTCGGTTCCAGAGTAGAAGTCGCAGGCAAAACCGATGTCTCTGTCGTTCTTCTGAAGCTCAATCTCCATCCAGTCTATCACCGACTTGAGGTACTCCGCCGTTGTGCACGAGAGGTCGTCGTAGATGAGCTTTGCAGCGTAGGAGACGTGCTTGTTCTTGATGTCCCCGGCTTTAGCTGCTAACGACGAAAGATGAGCCGTGTTTCCAGCAAAGCCGCGAGGAAGAGGTGGCTGCCAGCGCTGTCTGCAGCTTATCGGGTAGACATATCGAGTTGTGCTGTCGTCCGGGAGCTCTCTGGCTTCAGTCATCACCTTCCAGGTGAATGCTGCCATTGCAACGAAGCTGGAGGCTTCGACCTGCCAAGGACCGCTTCTGACCTCCTGGATAATTTCGTCCACCTGTTGAGCTGTGAACCTGAAGGTGATAGCTTGGTATGGCGATGGAGCTCCTTCCTCAAAGACCTCATAGTTGCTGCTGAGAGAGCCTTCAACCTTGGGAACTGATATGTAGTCCTTAATGGGAACACTCACCACTGGTGGATCTCTGGCTTTCATCAGGTGACTTGCATACACCGGAGGAGTTGACAGTTGAAGATGCGTATGAACTTCCGACCATGACTTTACAAACTCCACCGCAGCCCAGCCATCGTGAATTGCATGGGCCATACTAAATCCCAGAGCGATCCCTCCACACTTAAAGAGGGTAGCCTGGAAAGAAAATCAGCGAGCTATACAAGCAGAAGGTTCGAGTCTATTCATTTACCTGAATTCGTACGAGTGGAGCACTGCTGTAGTCCGCTATCACTGTATCTTCAAATGTCAGCTTGGCTTCTACTGTGCAGTCCTTGATGTCTTTCCAGTCATCGAATCTTGCCTCGGTAACTGCCTCGCGAAAAATAACTCCCTTGTCATTCAGCTCGACTTCGAATCTGTTATTCTCGTTCCTCACCAGCCTCCCCGCGAGAGCTGGATAGTAAATCAATAACCTCGACAATGAGTCCTTCAATCCTTTGAAAAAAGCATCCTGGTCTTGAATCAAATGATCCGAAGCTGGCTTGAAGTACCACACGGTGTTCATGTACCACTGGCCTGTAAACACTTGATCTAAATTCGAAAGGAAACGTCGTTCCTGAATTGGTGTTGGAGATGCCGGGACAATAACAGAGGTGGACTTCAGATCGACTCCCCACAGAGCTCCCATTTTCTTGGCTACCTCTTGAGATTCAGCCCGAAGAAAGAAGGTTGAATGCCTTCTCTTTATCAAGCTGCATATGGTGGTTGTCCCATGTTCAGTATTCCGGTGAAGGTCCATGTCATGTACGAAGTACAGCACCATCAGTAATTCTCCAGCCATTATCTCCGTAATGAAGTTCATATCTTGTAGTGTAAGAGCTTTTGTATGAATCGTTGCGTTGGGGATTGTTGCTATCATAGAGCCGAGCAGTTTCTTGAAGAGTGGCCTCCACCATAGCTCGTCTACCGTCCTCGCTAATAGTCACACTGTCTATATTGATCTCCAGAAGCTTGTATTCCCAATACCATCCATGTTTTGCTACTTCGACAGCCCGATCAGTCCAGCTCTTCAGCATCTGGCCGTCGAGTATCTGCTCACAGACAGTACCAATGTTATTAGTACGCAAGCAAGAGCATATATCCACATGTACCTCGTTAAGTTGAGTGATGGCACGGGTCACTCCAAGCGCCTTGGCTTTTGCGGCCTGCCATTTTCGTATCAACTGCTCTGCTAGCCTTGCATCCATTCTTAAGACCTCCTTCTGTTCGGTTGTACCTACAGGTAAGAAAACAATCGAAAAAAGCTCCACCCAATCTGCACACAACATACCTTTCCTTAAAGTCACCGCAGACGTAAGTGCTGGCACGAGAGGTGCCACTCTCCAGCTTTTGAGGACCTTCTGGAAGGGTGGATAACTGACGCTTGCGATTGCCAGCCCTCCAAACACAGCAGCAATGCAGGCGATCTGCAGAGGTAGTAAACGGTTGCTTGAATGCTTAGTAACACCTTCTCCGAGACGTGCAATAGCAGCAGCAGCCTCTTGTGGAAAGCTTCCTTTCTCAAGCTTTTCCAGGTATCCAAGCACCTCTGCATCGTCGTAGTAGTCACTTAGAGACACGTGAAAGTCTGCCGTTTCTCGAAAGTTTGTAAAAACCTCCTCGGCTAACCAGCTTTCCAACAATTTGCAAAGCCCTGGAAGCAGGTCACTGTCCCCGTTGCCATCTGTGCCTGATAACACAAAATCTGCGACTTCGGGACACCTATCTGGAGAGTTGACATCGTTCAGCCCGAGGAAAGTTTTGCAGTTCTCCACTTCCCCAAGCAAAAGAGCGGATAGAGCCCGTCCAAGCATCACATCTCTTTGCTCGTCCGTAATAAGATGATTGTCATTTCTGTCACGCAAGCTCTGGTGCAGCTGAGTGAACAAGCTTCCACCCTCTTGAATCAGCCGAGGCTTCTTCGTCTTAAATCCTTCAGCAACATGCGCTAAAGCGGCCGAGTAGATCTCAAGCTTCTCTGCTGGTATATTCGTAGGAGTCTCTGTGAACAGCGCCACCTTGATGAATAAAGCTGTCAATTAGAAATAAATCACACTGAAGAATAAGTTTGGGTAAAAATGAAGTACCTGCTCGCATGCAGTCATGCGAGATAGTGCCTCTTTCATGAATTGCTCACGCGTGTATCCTCCCACTGGTGCCATTAGACCTCCTTCGCCAGCGGTCCAGAGAATGTTACGGACTTCTTGAAGCCCTTCCGAACGTTGCGACTTGTGTTCTTCGTCAAGAGGCAGCGCAAGGAGCTCCAAAACACAGCGAGGTGTGATCTCTTCTAGAGTCTCGTATACTTCTTCCTGTAAAGACGGTGCTAGCATATTTCCTCCAGCCTGCCAAAATCAGTATTTAGAAAGTGGAAAGATAAATAAAAAAGACTAAGCATACCTGTAGAAGCCTCAAAGCCCCGTTCAGCATGTCACAACTTCGAATGACGGCAGGAGGATTTTCAGTCATTGCCTCCCTTGATAACTCAACATAAGCCAAAGCCGTCACGAGCACAACATCTTGCTTAAATGGCTTCTTCAAATTCTCATCGAGTAGAGCTTCACCGACTTGCAAAACCACTTCGGCCTCGCCCGCTTCTTGAAGAAGGCACAATGCTGCTGGTATCTGCAAAATTGCGTCAGTCGAGGACGAGAACAAACACTAGATTTTTTTACTTACTTTGCTCCAAGGAACTTCCACAACCAGAGTTCCAGCCTCGTCTTCTTTCAAGCCACGGTCATACTCGTCACGAAGATCTCTGTCAGCCAGTGTATCACACGCGACTTTTAAGATTTGCTGTCGCGCTTTCAGAAGCTCCACGCTGAATCCCTCCGTGGGAGGGTTGCTTACGCGAGCTTCGTATGCTCTCATCACAGCATCGGTGGAGAAATGTGGCTCTGCTCCAAGAATCTTTATCAGACAAAAAACGTCATCACCACAAAGACTACTTTGGAAGAAAATAAAGAGTTTGTCTCACTTGGTAGTAGTCGATGGGAAGCTGCATGGATTTCTCGGCATTTCTCAGCGCCACGGAAGGCTGAGCCTGTGCTAGAGCACAAATCACCGATACTTTACTTCGCTTTTGCAAGCGCAGAGGATTGCTCGTCGCAATGCCCGCTTCTAGACTCTGGCCAGCAATCCTGGACGGCAATGCGCGCACTGGAGCCCGAGGCTTGCTCTCGGGGCGGCTTCCAAATGCAGGAGCAGCGATCGACACCTGCGCCGCGAGGAATGTAAACCCTACCTCGGAGAATCACAAGAAATACCTGGACGCGAGCCGCCTGGCAGGGCGCCATGGAAATTCCACCCCTGTGATTTCCAATGAGCTCCACCGCTACCGCTCCAATCGATCGATCATGAGCCGCTAGCTCACACTGGTCTTCTCTCTTTCAAACACATCCGTTGGATAGCCAGTTCGACATTCCTCCGCGTAATTCCCGCCTCGCTGGCAAAATCGAAACCGTTGAACTGTGGTAAACTCGGCGGTTAACCAACGGCTGTGACGTGGAGGGTAAAGTAAAGAGCCATGTCATAGCGAAGTTGGTTGCCGCCAAGCGAAGAGCGAGAGACGTGACTGTACCCGCTAGGGTTTATCGGGATGATTTCGCGAGGAGGAGGTTTGTGGCATTGCTCGATCCAGAGAGAAAATGCGAGCTATCGGTGTGATCTGTGGAGAAATCTCTAGAGGTTTCCATGCTGAAATGCCGGCAGCTGCGATGCGTCTGAGAATTCCAAGAGAATGAGGATAGAGGGAAGATCAAGCTCTGAGAATTCCAAGAGAATGAGGATAGAGGGAAGATCAAGCTTTGTAGAATCAGCCGACGTTACGAAGAAGAATGCTAGATTAAAACTGGACAAGGGGCCAAATGAGAAGAAAGTTCTCGATTGGCAGACACTGGTAATGACTTTTACATTTTTATTTAGCTTCTTATGCTTGATTGTGTGTGTGTGTGTGTGTGTGTGTTTTTTTTTTGGCCAGTGCAAAGTAGGACGTGTTGACGAGCCATGGAGGCTTAAACACGCAAGATTCAAGGGCCATGGCATCAAGAAAATCGATCCACAAAAGTTTGGAGAGTTTACTTCCCTGCGTTACATCAATCTCACCAGCAACTTTGTGCCTCTTGTAAGTTTTTTCTTGTGAAAGCTTGCAGCTCTGAAACATGAGCTTCTTCTGTCATGGTTTTTTCAGGAGTCCCTTGCACCGTTTCCTTTCCTCCAAAACGTTTGCCTCCAACGGAATCGACTACTATCGGTGAATCCCCCTGCACAAAAGTTTACGGCCCTTCAGGTACAACGATTTGTTCGCTCGTGGAGCACCTTCGTGACAAACTTTTGTTTGCAGGAGTTGGATGTGTCGTATAACAAGTTGAAGGCATCGGCTATGGTTGCGTTGTCGACGTTGCCAGACTTACGCAGGCTCAACATAGACTACAACTATTTGGGCAAGATACCGGACGAGATAGGAGACTTGGGGGCATTTCCTAGTTTGCAAAAACTTTCTGCAGCAGGAAATGGTCTTCACTCATCGTCCCTCATACCCTTAAGCAAGGTTTATAAAAAAAAGTACTGCATTCCTTTGTGATTTTTCTTGAATTTTCTTCCCCGTCACTAGACAGCTATACTGGTAAAGGAATGCTCATTACAGTAAGTCTTTGTTTCTGACACTTTCCGCTCGTTGTAAACAGATACGAAGGCTGGAGCTGCTTTGCTTGTCGAGAAACTCGATCAGTAGCTTGCCAGAGGAGGTAACCAGCTCATTTCTCTCTTCTTTTTTTTTCAAAATACTGACTTCAATACTTTGGTGTCAAGCTGTACAGGTGTTTTCGTGGCCTAAGCCATTCCGGCGGCTCACGGAGCTGGATTTGTCTTTTAACTGCCTCAAAGAGCCTCACACGCTAGTGTCCCTGAGGTTTCTGGAGCATTTGAACAAGGTACGCTCGAACCTTCGTCGAGCTTTGTACTGAACTTTGCATATCATCTTTGTTTCCTCAGGTGATATTGTGGGGGAATCCCATCGCAAAAAACGTTGGGCAACCGGTTATCAAAGCGTATCTTCAAGCACGGCAAAGTGGTCAGTCGTGGGCTTTGGAACCGCCACCTCCGTCACGGCATCCATACCAAAGATTCATCCCAGTTCTTCGCCCACAATCCTGTTTACTCGTAAGTTCTTCTACGTGCACTTTTTCACTAAAAAAAACCTCTTCATTCATCCAAACTGACTCGACTCGCCAAGTAGAATGACGCTGAGCTTCACGCAGCTGAATGCAAGCCAGACCCCAAACCCGAGAAGAAGGAAAAAAAAGAGGTGATTTTTGCTGTAGTTGTGAAGCTACTGTCGTTTCGTAAACTCCAGTGTGCCTGTGCATGGTTTGCAGGATCCTCAGGAAACCCCAGCGGCGGATAGATCCGCATTTGGAGCATCAATGGCGTTTCTAACTCTCAAACGAGAGCTAGCATTTCCGCCCGCTTCGGTAAGCTATATCGTTCTTATCTAGTTTCATGAACGTGTTTGTGTTTGATCCAGTCGGAGCTTAAACCTCCTCACTACTGGGCTCCTCCAAAGAGGCAGGACAGTAGCTTGTTGGAAGCCACGAGACGACGCCATCGCCCCACGCTTTTGCAAAGAGTCCGGAAAATGCAGGCAAGCTTTTCCAGAAAAATTCTTCCATTTTGATGTTCCAATTTTTTTATTTTTATTTTTTTCTGTTTCCATTTTTTACTTGGGACAGGCTGAGCAGGAGAAGCAAAGAACTGATGTTATTCTCAAGGGAATGCAAGAGCGCTTGAAACGTGTAGAGAGTGGGCTGAGCTTCTTGCAAAACAAGCTAACACCCCTTTGTAAGGCGGCTTAGTTTTCTTTTCCAATTTGTAGCTCTAGAAGTTCACTGGTTTTCCATTCTCAGTGAGCTTAGGCTTGCAAAACATGTAAACAGAAAAAAATGTCGAAAGAACGAAGCGAAAAATAAAAAAAACCAGAAGAGGGAGGCATGTCCTTTTAACCGTCTTCTTTCGCGGCTTCCTCTTTGCGTATTCTTTCCTCCTCCTCTTTGTTGAAGATCGCGTTCAGCTGTCTCTCCAGCTGCGAAACAGGATTCCATTCGTGAGCGAAAAAGAAAACAAGAACGCCAAGTACCTGGACATTGCGAAGTTTCATCATTTGCAGCTCGTCACCAAGCACTCCCACTCTAAACAAGCAAAGTGTTAAATTCGACAGAGTGTCTTACATAGAGACTTGATTTCTCACCTCACTTGCAGTTCAAGGACTTGTTGGCGAAGGTCACGTTCACGGTCCGAGCAGTTGTTATCGCTCTGTTTGAAGCAACAAGTTTCAGCCCAGGGGTCACTTTCCGGATGAAAACAACATACACATACCCCGTGGTCTACTGCACTCGCACTCGCACTCCGACTCAAGCGCTGGTTGGACGCGCCTGCGCAAAAAAAGTCATGTAAGAACAATAACGTGGAATTGCAGCCACTTACCAGCAGATAAGTCAGTCCCATGGTTGCATACAATGGTCATCAGATTCACAATCATGTCCTGTTGGAATTAAGAACTTCACGGTTCTGTAACATTCAACATCGTTGCATACCTGCTGCATCGCCGTTTGGTTTAAAAGATTCTGGAGCAGTGGCAGTAATGCCGCAGTCGACACGGGAGTGTAGCCAGTAGTAGATGGTGTGGCTGGAGATGGAGATGTACCGGATGACTGTGGAAAAACTTGCTGGTACATCTAAGCCACCAAAGCGTTAGGATACTGACACAAACTAATAGAAAGTTCAACCTGAGCACTCGAAGTTCTTCGGAGACTTGAGGGAGAGAGAAGTTCCTGCAGCAGCAGATGTTAAGTACTTATCAACGCAAGGCAAGAGTCAACTGTACCGAATGCTCAATAGAGTTTACACTGCTTTTTACTTTCACATTTGGAAGAGCGGCAAGCCTTTCCACATCCTTGTTCTGCAACGAGCTTATTAGATAGAATCTTACTAGCATTTGGACAGCAAACTAATACCTCCTTAAGGTCCTTGAGATTGACATCTGCCGAGGTTACGGAGAACCGACCTTTCTTCTGGACGACGGGCCCTTTGACCTTCTCATCCTCTTTTCCTGTTTCATTCAGACAATTGAGACGACTCAAATAATAAATCAAAGAGGCTATACCAGGTGGGGGCTTGGCTGATCCATTTGCAGGTCGATGGTCAACGACTCCATTGCTAGATGGCACAGTAGAGGGGTTCTCCTCTCCTGAGGGGCGCATCGTTAGCTTGTGATCTCTAAAGTCAAATGCCGTCAGGATGAAGGAAGAAAAATTGCAAATATGTTACCTGGTTCTCTCGTCATCCAAAGGCTTGTCTGTAAGTGCATCATCAAAATCTAACTGTCTGTTGTGATCCATTGAAATATCTTTTGCGTTTATGATTTTCGAGTCATCAAGCTCTTTATCTTCGAACTTTTCCTCCTTGTGGTGCGCAAGCGCTCTTTCTTCGCCGTTGAGTTGTTCTGCGTTCTCACACCAGTTTGATGAATCTATCTCCACGTTATCGACGAAGACATTGAACCGGCCTCTGTAAAGAAACGATTTGATTAACTTAAAATAGTAGAATACTTCGAGAGAATAATACTTACCTTATCTTGGCTCCATTTGGCGGCTTGCGAACTATGCACTCTTCTCCCTACATTTGAAACGAACAAAATAGTTTACGTATAGGAAGACAAAACTACTTACATCGAGAGGTATCTCGGCCTTGATAGTCTCAGAGATAAGATTATCGTCGGCGGATATTGTCGTATGAGGCGAGGCTACTCTAGAAACAGTTTTAGAGGGAACTCCTTCCTCCTCTTTTTTGATGACAGGAGCATAATCATCGTCTTGCAACTGCATTGCATCAAACTGGTCAAAATGAAATAACCACACTGTCATTCAAGTTACCATTGCTGCCTGTGCTTTGAGATCCTCAACGTCAAAATTCCAGCCACTTACTCCGCGTTTATAAGCGTTCTGCATGGTTTTATTCCGGTGTTACATTTATAGCAATACATTTTTCTAGGCTGACCTGGGATTTTTCTTCCTGCTCCTCGAAAGTAGACGTTTTCTTTTCCGCAAGTCGTGCAGCATCCTTCAGCTGGTGTCACAAAATGTTACCTCATGGCACCATACAGATTCAATTCTCATACCTTCACATCCCTCACACGTTCCCAGAGAGGTGGAAGGCCGTCCAGAACGTGACGGACTATATAGTCGCTTGACTTTGCCGATTTGAAAAAAGAATGCTTCAAAAGCTTTTCGGCTGTTGGCCTTTTTGTCGGGTCCTTAACCAAACACATGGCAATCATCTCCTTGAAAGACTAAATTAGCAAAAGGCAGCTGTTAAAAAGCGCAAAAGAAACTAGATTAAAGTGACCTTAGAAAAGCGCTTGTCCCTCTCGTAAGTCAATCCAGGAGCTGCATTTTGTAAAGTCATCAGTAGAACCTGTCAAGCGCATTCAGCACTCGAAGGAACATAAAAATCACGGATTTACCTTCAGAGGTGGATATTTCGAGAACGGAGCATGGCCGTGTGCAAGCTCTAGAGCAGTTATACCGAAAGACCATACGTCAGCCCTGTGGACACACACTGGGAGATAAGAAAAATCGAAAGAAAGTAATTTAGAATTGTACTTAAAATCGTAACCATTGATCTGCTCCATGACCTCCGGCGCCATCCTGCAGAGATTCGTTAAGAATGAATCTCGAACAGAATGATATTGATTGCGTACCAGCAAGGTGTCCCCACAAAAGTTTTTCTCGACCATTGCCTATCGCCATTGTCAAACATGAAAGCCGCGACGCCAAAATCACCGAGCTTCACGGCACCGTTCTCGTGTATGAGGATATTCCCAGCCTTGATAGAACACCCAAATTAGATAGACCCAAAGACAGTTGACTTGAGAGGAACATACCTTCACATCTCGATGAATGTGTCCCTGTCGGTGAAGATACTCCAAAGCTTTCAACGTATCGCGAAGAATTGTCGCAATAACCGGCTCGTCGAATCCATCGGGAGATGTTGCCTTCATGATGTGAAGACACGAGCCACCTCCCATATACGGCATGACGACCCAAAGATGCTGAGACACCACAAACGAGCAGTGTGCCTTCACGACATTGGAATGGCTGATCAAGCTCATTGTCTGAGCTTCCTTTCGGATGGTATCCTGGGAAGCACGGACATCTAAGTCAGCTACCAGCAAGGAAGAAATAAAACTTTAAAATGAGCTCGAAAGTATCGGTATACTTACCAAAGTCCCACTGCATTTCTCCAAATCCAGCTGCTTCACCGCGACATACTCTCCAAGAGGCACGCAAAATGCCCGAAACACCAATCCGCTCACGCCCTGCCCGATCTCTTCGAGTAGCTTGTAGTCGGCTGGCACCACTGGATACTTCCCCTTGTCCTTTCGCTCCTCCATATCTTCCACAGGAATATTTTCACTTGGACTATGGCTGTCCGATTCGCGTACTGTTCATCGCACACGAGCGTCGAAATATTTCGGCACCGCGAGCTCACGGGAGCACGGATTTCTCGATCTTGGACGCGGCGCCGCGGATATTCTCGCGATCAAACCGCCACCGCCTACTCGCATTCCCCGATCCCTCCCCGCGGCCTCAATTCCTGAAATTGGATCCCAAATATCGGTAGCGTAGGAGCAAAGATCCACGCAAACAAGGAAAAGCGCCGCAACAAGGGAGAAATTCCACCGAGCTTACACTGGCGATCGTCCAGCGCCACAGCAGTGTCGCAGCGCCATCGCCGCGCATTAAATTCGGGATCGAAATCCCGTTGCTCGGTCTTCTTTCAAGCTCCCGCAACGCAAGCTTGCTCGCTCATGCACAGCCTCGGCCCGGACCTACGAGCCCCAAACCTAGAATGGCCTATAAAACGGCCGTCAAACCCCCCGTGACGGCCACGCCTCAGCTCGTCATGGACCCGTCACCGCACGCCACGGCCTCTCCCGTGCGCTTCTGTGCACGAAAACAGTGGCATTACTGATAACAAGAAGCCAATCATAGTCTCAACCCTTCTCTCGTTTAGAAAAAAAAATTAAACAATTCAAACGGCTGACCGTTGACAAATTTTGACCCTCTAGAACCCTAAAACTTCTTTCTTGCGAGCGTTTCGAAACGCGCAGCAGCCCACGGAATAGACGATCACCAGGAAGAAGAACATCACCGCGCTCACGAACGCGACCTTGCGCCAGTCGCGCTTGATGTTCTCGAGCACTCCCGCCTTGCAGGAACCGCAGTCCAGGCACAGATCCTCCTGGTTCCACCGCGAGCAATCCGGGTCGGAATTAGGGTTCTGGGGATCCGCCCAGCTTGTGGCGTTAGCGAAGCCACACGCCGCTGGAGGCCGGCAGCATCCAGACTGCAAAGGGACTAGACACAATCAATCCAATTCGAGGAGATTGGGCCACACCTGCAATGGGGAGTAATTGGTGAATGTAGCTTCTTCCAGGCCGACGCAAACCCTCGCAGCGATCAAGCAGCTCTTGATCTTTGCCCAATTTCCCGGATTCTTGACGCGATCTTGGAGCCAGGGCGAGTAATCCGTGAGCCTATACTCCTCGTAGCCCAATCCAGCCAGAGAATGCCTGGCACCGCCCCTGCTCGTCACCACAAACGCAAATGCCGTGAATGCCAGCAGCGCTAGGATGAGGAGCAGCATAACCAGGAGATAGATCCACAGCAGCCACGCGATCCGGAAGCAGCTGCCGATAAATCCCGCCAGGGACACGAGCAGGATGAAGAGCCCTAGCGCGATCACGGGAAACTGGAGGAATTTCACGCACGCCGTCTCGTGCCGGTGCGCAAGCCAAATTCCCGCCCCAATCACCGCCAGCGAGAGGATCATCGCCACAAAATTCAGGATCCCCGTGAGGTAGTTGCTCGTCAGACCCATCTGATCGATCGATCGATCGGGCTGGAATCGCCTAGAACACTCGCGTACGGAAGCGCGACAAAAATGCCCGGCCTTGGCATCTGCTGCTCCAGGCCAGCGCGCGTACGGACGGGGATAAGAATGGGCCACCATGTTTAATGAGCGTGACAAGGACCTGACGGGCGTCATCTGACCGTACAGAGGTTGGACATCACGACGTACGCCGAGGAGTGGCCATGGTTCGAGCTCCGGGATGTCCGTACACCCCGGTGTACGTCACCGTGGATGTGGCAAGCGCCCAAGAGGCTCATCCATTGAGCGGGAGATGGCCACATGGGCATGGTTTGAATGAGCTCCTCAACCTTATCAAGACGCCCGGCGCGGCCGAGAAGATCGACGAGGCACCCGTAGTTGTCCTCCAGTGGCTCGATCGAGTAGTCCCCGATCATGAGATGGAACTGGTGGCGGGCCTCTCGGATCGATCCGGCATGCGCGCATGCGAAGAGCACACAGGTGAAGCTTATCACATTCGGCGCCACGCCCTCTTGATCCATTCTTTGCAGTAGGCCCATCGATTCGCGCAGGTCACCCTGGTGAGCGTAGGCCCCGATGATCGCGTTCCAGGAGATGGAGTTCTTGCCCCGGATCTCCTCGAACGCGGCCCTCGCGCTGGCGAGGGCGCCGCAGCGATCATACATGTTGACTAGCGCGGTGCCCGGGATCACGCTGCTTGAGAGCCCCTTGGCGGCGATGGTGGCGTGGATCTTCCGCCCTTCTCGCAGGTCCTCGCACGCATCCAGCGCGCTCACCAGCGTCAGCTGGTTGGGATGGATCCCTTGGAGCTCCATTCTACTCAGTAGCAGCAGGGCTTGATCACTGTGACCCTGGTGAGCGCAAGCAGTGATCATCGACGTCCACGGGATCACATCGTCCCTCCGCTCGTCGCCCATTTGATCGAATACTCTCCAGGCGCTCTCGATGCTACCGCAGTTGCCATACATGTCAATGAGCGCCGTCTCCACGCTTTGGGACTCGTGGATTCTATTGCTCTGATATTCTTCGTGGATCCTCCTCCCTTCCTCGATCAATTCCGGCGCGTTTGAAACCGCCTCCAGCACGCTCAAGAACGCGATCTCGTCGGGCTTCGTCCCTTCCGCGTCCATTTGCTTGAAGATCTGGAGAGCTCTCCGGGGGAATCCATGCTGGGCATACGCAGCGATCAGCGACGTCCACGACACGATCGTCCTGCACGGCAACGAATTGAAGACGCTCTCGGCATCGATCAAGCTCCCGCATTTGCCATACATCGTCACCAGCGCATTGCTCAACCGGGTGGAGCTCTCGTCGATCACTCCACTGGCGGCGATCCTCTCGTGAATTCTCCTCCCATCCCCCAGGAACTCCGCGCTGGAGCAAGCGCTCAGCGCAGTCAAGAATGTGTTCTCCATCGCCCTCACGCCCTCGCAATCCATGAGCTTGAGCAAACGCAGCGCCTCCTTGGCCTTCCCATGCTGAGCATGAGCTCCAATCAGAATGCCCCACGTCACCCCGTTCCTGTACGGCATGCCCACGAATACCGCCATGGCCTCGTCCAGGCTGCCGCACCGCCCGTACATGCTCACCAGCGTGTTCCCGATTAGGGCTTCACGCTCGAGGCCGCGAGCGGCGAGGTCGCCATGGAGTTTCTTCACCGAATCGATCGATTCGCAGGTTACAAGAGTGCTCAAGAACGTCGATCGATCGGGCGCCAGGCCCGCGGGTTCGATACGGTAATACAGCTCCAGCGCTAGATCTCCACGGCCGTGAAGAGAATAGGCTGCGATCATCGCGTTCCAGGCGATAATATCCCTCTTTCTCATCCGGTCGAAGAGATCCCGAGCTCGATCGAGGCCGCCGCACCTGGCATACATGCTCACCAGCGCCGTGCCGAGATTTCCACTCAGATCGAACCCGCTTGCCTCGATCCGGGCGTGGAGGCGCTCGCCCCCGGCGAGATCCATTGCCAGGGTGCAAGCGCCCAGGAGATTGATAAACGTGACATGGCTGGCCTTGACGCCGTGGAGATCCATGCTTCCGAGAAGATCCAGCGCCTCCCGCAAATGCCCATTCTCGGCATACGCAGTGACGAGAATGCTCCAGGAGAAGACGTTTGGATGCTCGATGGACTCAAATGCGGCAATGGCGTCGTCCAGAGCTTCGCATTTCCCGTACATTCTCACGAGGAGATTGCCGAGAATGGTGTCGCCGCCGGCGCCCGCGCTGTTGATCTGGGCGTGGAGGCGCTTGCCCTGCGGCAGATCTCTGGAGCTTGCGCAGGCGCGAAGGAGATCCATGTAGGTGGAGAAATCCGCCGCAGCTCCTCGTTCCTCGAGGCGATCCAGCCTCTCGCAAACATCACTGTGGCTCGATTTCGCGGCTCCATCTCCATATCCAGCGCAAGAGCAGAAAAACCTTCTTGCTCTTCCCGAGACACGTCTTTGCAACATCAATCCATTGAGATCCTATGACCTTATCAGATTGAAAGTGAGAATCCCGCACTTCAATTTCTCTTGTTGTGGCCCCAGATATCGGAACCATTCAATGTTCTTGCAGTAGCCCATGCGGGAACAAATGATATGTCTTAGGACATAAAGCAGCTACCTTTGGGATCGCAAGTCAGCACCTCAGGTTGATTGAAAGTGAGAATCCCACACCTATCCTCGCAGAACTTGGAGGCGGGGATTGATGAAAGTGTGGAAGTGCTAGCTCCGGCAGCAAAGCTTTGTACGATTCGTGCTGCCCGTAGGCTCGTTCTGAAAATGTTAAATAAAATATAAGACCTATTGGCTCGCAGGATACCTATGGGCCAGATAGACAATCGTAAAACTCATGTTATTCCTCTATGTTTCAAGCAGTTGTGTTTCCTGCTGGCTATATGATTCTTGATGAGGTGGATGAGTTTCGTGTGGTTTTTCTTGGTGATCATGCATGAAATTATTGAGTTCGATTATAATTATTTGACGTAAAATAAAAAATAATGATTAAAAATGACCAATAAATTCTTAATTATCAAAATAAAATCCAAAATAAGCATCTTTCAAAGATGCAAATTGTCATATTGAAATTGACTTACCCAAAATAATGACACAATAAAACAAAATAATAATAATGAACATATACTGTATATAAAGCATCTCCCTTCCAATAATTTCGTTAGACAGTTTCAGAAATGACTAAACTTTTTATTTATGTTTTTTTATTTCCTAGTATTTTTCCCTTCATTAATTCTCAAGTTGATCCATGTAAACATGATTCAGATTGTATTTCAGGTTATCACTGCGATAATGCTAATTGTGTAAAAAACAAATCATGTTTTCCAGGTATAGTTCACTTTATCATATTCGTAGCTCTAAGTTTATTACTAGGTGATGCTAGTTTAAAGCTTTCTAATGGTAAACGAAAACAAATAAAGGATATTTCAATTGGTGATAAGGTTTGTAAGATTAATCACTTAATTTTACTCTTAACTGTTGCAATTAGGTTGCAATCCGAAATAAAGATGGCAAAATAGATTATTCTGATATATATGCTTTTGGACATAAAGATATTGAGCCTTATGAAGAATTTATTCATATTAATACTGAAAATAATAAGAGTATTGAGTTATCTAGTTTACATTTTATACCCATTAAAAGTAAGAATTTTTATTTACTATTTCATGCATCATATTCCTAATAATCCATTTTTAGATTCAAAATCAATACTATATAAGTATGCAAAGGATATTACTTTTGCAGATACATTATTAGTTTTGGATGAGCAATCAGGAGAACTATTACCTAATAATATAACAGGTAAGTATTAATTTTAAGCTTTTTATTTTTTAATAATTCATCTATAGATATTTATATATCAAAAAAGTATGGCCTTTACAATCCATTTACATTGACTGGTGATTTAATTGTAAATGATATTGTAGTATCAACTCACAGTGATTGGTTTTTAGATGAGATATTTGAATATTTAAAACTAAGCTATTTATTACCTGATATATATCATGCTGTTTTATTTCCAATTCAATTACTATATAGATATTTAAATATTGATATTTATTTAAAATTATACAACTTAGTGGATACCATGCTTAATAATATTAGCTCTATTATGCTAGTTTCTGCTTTATCAATGTTTATTAAAAATAAAAGTAAAGATAATAAAATAATTAATAAAAAATAAAACAGAAATAATGAAATAATTCTAATTAATATTTAACTTTTAAATGGTAATTTCTTAGTATAGATTAGAAAAATATTCCTATATATATATATATATATATATATATATATATATATATATATATATATGTATGTTTATATATATGTATATATGTATGTTTATATGTATGTATGTATGTATATGTATGTATATATGTATGTTTATATGTATGTATGTATGTATATGTATGTATGTATGTATGTATGTATGTATATGTATGTATGTATGTATATGTATGTATGTATATATGTATATATGTGTATATGTATATATGTGTATA